GTCGCCGCCGTCAACGACGCCGGCTTCGACGCCACGGCCCTCGGCGACGACGACGCCGACGCCGACGCCGACGCCCCTCCGCCTGCCCCTGCCCCTGCCGCGCCCGACGCCACCCCACAGCACACCAACGGCGGTGAGTACAGCACTGATGCTCTTTGCTCGAAATTCCCGCACCCCCTTCCCACCCACGCCTTTGTTCCCACACAATTGCACATTTAATTATCTTACTAATATATACTCGTACCAACCTGTGTAAATCCATGCTGTTAAATTGCGTGTGAAGTTTAAAGCCGATTCCTTTTACTTCCCTGGATATTTATTTACCTAATGCGTCCGCTCAGGCAGGAAAAGCAATGCACTAGTCTCAACTGTATCCAGTCCCTCGACTGGTCTGGCGTAGCGTGCTCTGCCCTTGCCTGCTCAAGCGCACCCTGCTCTCGCCCTGCTCCTCACCCTGCGCTGTTTTACCCGACCACGATACTTCCCGCCGTGCCGTCAGGTTGTGCGTGAAGTCGACGTATCAAATTTTTTTCTTTCATATTATTAATGTTTATATAATATACACAGCAATCGAGGGCTTCAGCTTTCAGATGAAAACTTATTGGCTGCAAGTGACTGAGTAGTTCGTCTGGAAATCTACTTCAGGGAAATACTTATGCCTAAAGCCCGCTTGTCCAGGCAGTGCAGCACTCAAGCGACGCGGAGCTCGCGGGTTTTGATAAGGAAAAAATTGGGCGCGTGGAACTTGAAAATGCGCGAGCTTAGTCTGGATTTGTGCCAAGGAGAGCTTATAAGTGTTTATTAGAGGTTATGCGCCAAATTTAAATAAAATTGGAAAGCAATATGGTAACAACGTCCGTAATGTAAACGACGTGAGATGTATTTAAAAAAAGAATTTCTAGAAATTTGAAAAATCAAAAGTAATTATCAAAATGACATTATTGTTCTGTTATTCCGTGCTTTTAGTACTATCCCGACAAAAGTTTGAAGGTAAAAATTGTAGCCGCTTTTGATAAAATAACGTTCGAGAGTTTCTAAAAATGCTGAATTTTGAGCTCATTTTACGAAGAGAATTCAATATTAAAAGAGACAAATTGGTCAGAGAAATAATCTACCCACTTTTAAAAATTCCCACCGTTTTTACTACTTTCACCATACACTTTAGTCATTCTTGAGAATGTATTATTTTTTTCAACTTCAGCAAGTAAAAAACTAATCATAGAAAGTTGTTTATCCGATGTGGAATTTTCAAGTGGACTCGCCATCGTTTAACTTAATTTTGTTACGAGCACAACAATGCTGATCCTCCAGATAGTCAGGGCTCATCCCAATGATGCCAGCTTACAGTCCTACATTTCCCAAACTTGTTCTACCGACTTTTTTCTCTTTAATAATTGAATTACTTTCGTATTTTCTCGTAGGTAAAAAAAACTGTAATTGGGCGCCGGAAAACGGCGATTTTCGACAGAAAAAAAACCTCTTACTGGCAGACCCTGGTTACGAAAAAGTCGGAAAATATTGTTACTAAAAATGTTACAATCAACACACGCCACTGCTAGTTCCTACCCTTTTCAGAATTGGATCACAGAATCACAGGAGAATCACTAGAGACAAAATTCTATGTGGATGATATGATACGTGTGCCCCCGTGTAGAAGATACAAAAGTGTGTTATTGACAAGTGTAGGAAGAAAATAAGACACCGGAGAAGGCTCAATGAAAAGTATGGAGTGAAACCGTACAGAACCTTGTTTGTTATATTGAAGTCAATCGCGAGGACACCAAACTCATTGCAGTAATTGAGCTTAGTAGCCAGTTTAGTTTCCTGGTCGATCAGAGAATTAAAGAAGTAAAATCTAAAGTTGCAAAAATTAGCAAAGTGGCGAAAGTTACCAATGAATAAATATTATCTTAAGTTGAAATGATACCGGGCGTTCCATAGAGTACCTGCTACTGCTAAACTCTCAGGAGGGCGCACTAACCACAGACGCGTTTTCCAAGGAGAACAGAATCTCTCGCTTGGCGCCAGCGTGAGCCTATGCGTTTCTCACAGGTTTTCCTTCTTCGATATTTATTAAAGCGTAAACTGATTCGTTTCCTATTATGTTAAATTGTAAAGTGTTGAGGACATTTGATGAATGAAACCTGTTGCGCTTGTTGGCAGGCGTGAAGGCAGAGCTCCTGGCGGCGGCAGGGGACACCGAGGCGGAGTCAAGCGACGCGGAGGGCTTCCCAAAATGCCACCTGCACGTGAAAGGGATGACATGTGCTTCTTGTGTAGCAGCGATCGAAAAGCACTGCAAAAAACTCTATGGTAAGAACGGCATGATGATCGTTGTCATCTGTGCCTTTTTTGTTGTTTTTACTGTGGCTGTTGCTGTAATTTTTTTGTTTGTTGTTGTAAGTTCTGTTTTTATTTTATTGCCAATAAGCATTTTGTGTAGTGAATTAAAAGCACTCATTCATTCCATGAACAATCGTTGTTTATCACTCTATTAATTGCACACGTGCAATTAAAACTCCACAATTACCCATTACAATTCACAAAGAGAATAAAAATAGCTTCATTAAGACACTATAATACCGTCGTGACCAAGTTATCGGTAATGAAACATGATCAAAAATTACCTAAGGTTACGTACCTAAGTTAACTTCATATAAACAATGCATAAAACAAAATTGATGAAGTAAACGTTTGTTTGACACTAGCTGGCTAATGGAACAATATTTTACATGTAAAACATAAATGTCTGTTGTATTTACCCGTTTTAAAGCGTGCCAATTTTATGCCCAAGTATCTCATTCATAAAATATGGGTCATCTTATATCTGCAGATTAAGCCTTGTCAGTTAGGATTTGCATTTTAACACTGCCTTTCCATACCTAGAAGAAACTCGATTGCTTAAAACCTATGAGCCGTAAAGGCGATGGGTGCTCAGATATAATACCAATAATATTCGCTGACGTGTTGGCATCCACCACAAGTTTGCCGGACGATTCAGACAAATAGTTTTAGGCAAAGAGGGAATCGCAAACGAATGGCATTACAGGAAGTGAAACGCAACGTGAAAATGAATTAAAATCTTTGCCGGGATTTTGTTAAGGCCGCATATTCAGCATTCGCCGAGCAGCGAGTTACTGCTCGTCCAATTCCAAACAGCTTATGTGTTTGGCTTCTTTTGATGTGTCTTAAAGACCGACCCGCGGGGGGTACGCCGAATACCGAATGTTCGGCGCTCGGCGAATCGCAAGCAACCCGTCCTCACCACTCGGGATTCGGCAAGCGATTGCTCGGGATTCACTGAATGCCGCATCTGTGAAGCAGCCTTTACATGATCGACGAGGCCGCGCAAATTCTCGGTTCGACTCCCGGCGAGTGGAACTCTCCTATTTGCGAGAGATTGAAGTGGGGGGTAAAATCTCGTTGATAGAAGTATCTATTCCACATACCACTATAGACAGAATAATAAAAAATATTCTTAGCAAACACTTCTCAAACTTAAAAGCTTGCCGCTCTCTCCCGCGTTACACGCGAAAGCGAGGGAAGATGTACAAATTTCCTACTTACAATTCGAATGTTAAACGGTGTGCATTTCAAGTACATTCTCCCAAAAAAGTGAAAAAAACTGTTAAAGAATCTGATGTAACGGACAACAACGCGACGGGAAGAAATTCTGGTGACACAGAGGGGAACGTTCTTATTTGTACGTGGCTTCAAATGAAAGACAAACGTTGAGCGCAAAACTTTCTGAAAGGGGGGGGGAGGTAAAATGTAAGAGACAGCATGGGAGAAGAGACAAACAGTAAGAAACAATGATATATGTGAATATGAAGGTGATAGTGATAAAACCCATAATTAAGATGATTTTAAGGAACAGGAAAATAGTGATGACTCAAGCAATACTAAGTTGTAACATTCTCATCAGCTAGATTTTCTAGATAGTTTGCAATTTTATTTTGACTAGTAAGAATTAGTTAATAAAAAAATCAGAAGGCCTCTTCAAAATTAAGGAATTATTGCATATTCAATATCGACTTATATTCAGATAATTATGGTACTTTATAAACTTAGATCATTAATTAAAAAATTCAATCTTCTTATAATTTTGGACGGTGTTCATATTTTCGTTTATTAATAAAATCTTACATAGTCCAGAGTACTTAAACCATAGAGATTTCAGTGAAATTAATTTTGATACATCTTTGAAAAGTACTGTTTGATTTAGACAGTTCACACTTTTAGCTCCAGCTCTCAGGTACACCATACTTGTCCTATTTTCCTCCACATTTTCCTATTGGTGCAGAGATTTGTCCGAAAACAAACTTTCTGTAGCTTTGTTAACTTTTCTGTCAATATCTGCAGGAACAATATTCTTTGTACAAATGAAGAAGCCCAGTTATAAGTATACAACAGTAATTAGGTACCCAATCTATTTGGTTTTTTCTCTCATGATATTCCCAACTAATGATTACAATGTCATTTTATCTTTTTACTTTTGGTGCAAGACAAATTTTAAAATGTTTAAAATTTTTGTTTGACTGAAGAACAAACTAGAAAATCATAATGTTTTGTATGCATGATTATTACCATATATGACTTTTTCAAAAACATTTTTCAAAAATCTCTTAACCTTTCTTGGGCATTGAGTGTATTGGAGTAATCATCCGATAAATTTCTGTCTTGTCATCTTACAGTCACTCTGTGCCTTTTATTCTTTCGGTCAGGGGTTGGTGGCATTAGTAACCAGAGTTCTGAGACAGTTATCAATCCATGAATCCATGGCGTCTCAAATTCCTTAACTTTCATGACTTCATGAAGCGCTGTTAAGTAATCTGGTTGAGGATGCCAGCTTTATTTATGTTTAGTGTGAAGTTCTCCTGTTTTTGAATCTGATCATATATTCCTGACTCTCTCTAGTCTTGGTTTTTGCTGCTGGTAAATACCTTTCTTCTAAGTAATCTAATTATTGATAGTGCCTAGAGATTCTCACTATGTCCCTCCAGAAATTATAATTGCTAACGGAGCTATTTCTATGAGACATTTGTAATACATTGATTTTGTTCTTTGATAATAATGAGAGACTGCCTGTATGACAAAAATGTTTGATCTTAAAATGTTGTTGAACCCTCTGGGAGATTCCACACTCTGTAAAAAATAGTTATAAAGTGAAAATATTCATAGGGGAATCAATTTTGTATAGCTAGGCAGAGATCATAATGCTGAATTGAAATCCTATTTGCTGGGAATTGGGTCGGTGTATATGACTAAGTAACAACTTGCTCAACAAACAAAGACTGCACTCTTTTACCCAATTTAATTGTACATGTTGAGATTCTGCACATTCTTTGTCACCAAAGATATGGAGCTACTACCCTAAACCTCCAAAAAAGTAGTAGATGTGGAAAGATCTTAATTTGTAGATGACTGGTTAAGAAACACAAATTGAAATACCACAGGGTCCAAAAACCAAGTTTTAAGGCCCTTAAACAAACTGTTGTGAAGTTATGCTAGATAGAACAGAGTAACGTGTTTGGCAGATTCCATGAGAGACTGCTAAGTTCACTATAGCACATTGTGAAAAATTCCACATTTTTCACTTTTAATTTTTTCTGATTACTCTACCTCCGTTTGCTACATCTTTATGGGAAACTTTCCTTTTCAACAGAGGCACCAATTCTTTGTATCCAGGAATTGTTTAAATACAAAATCATAATCTTTTATAGCACAATATAAAAAGAAGAGCATTGTACCCACCAGGGTATTCTAATGATTTGAAAAAATTTGTTGAAGGAAAAATTTTATGCAAATCAGAATTTCTACTTATTTTTATATTTCTATTCTGAAAGTTATATAAAACTGAAATAGATCAACTACTGTTGATTTATTGATGCTTTTTAGTTTTTGTTGAATGTATTGCTGTCTAGTGTTCGTTTAATGTACTGAAAATTTTTAGTATTGTATAAAATCAGTTAGCAAATGTGTTTCCATTCTGAAGAATATTGCCCATATTGTGCATTTTTCTCATTATCAATTTCTCTTCATTGTGCTGCTGTCCTTTCTGAATGAACAGACTGGAACAATGATGTTACTAGCGTGCTATTACAAAGGTCCTGTGTTTTTACCGCCAGGTGTTCAGAGTGTCCTCGTAGCTCTTCTGGCTGCGAAGGCGGAGGTAAAGTACGATCCTTCAGCCATCCAGCCTGGGGACATCGCAGCTTCCATCTCTGACCTTGGCTTTCCCGCGGAGGTGATTCAGGAGCCGGGGACAGGAGAAGGGGAGGTGGAGCTGAAGGTAAGACTCCTTGTGTTTGCCTTTGACAGAGCATTGCGTAAATAGACATTCATAAAGTTTAACTAAGGTTTTTGTCTTCAAATACATTTAATTAATAAATTCTTGATGGTGCAGACAGCATTTATCGACTGCTTGCATAACAAATAACATACTGAAGAATCAGTTTTTGTAGGATTGCAAATTAAAACAATTGTATTTTAATGATTATTTGGAAGACCCCCATAGTCAATTGTAACTTATGAAACTGAAATTTACATTTTTGATCAAATTTTCAAATATTTTCTTTTGATATATATTTGTGTTGTTATTGTGATGCAACATACATTACATGACCTGAAGATCTAAAATTTTGAGAAAAATGTGTCCAGTTTCATGATAATTAAAACATGAAGTTGCTGAGAAGTCAGCCTTCACATTCAGTGCTGTACCCTGCCAATGAGTAGAGATGAAATTATTGAGAGAACTGCACCGGACACTTGAAACCTGTGCTACCTGTTTGGGTAGCTTTGCCTTTTTAAATGGATGTACCAAATTTTGAGTTTTGCTAGATTAGACTAGAAGAGGATTACTGCATTATTAATCTAATGTATATTATTTTGAAATGTAGATCCAGGGAATGACATGCTCATCATGTGTCAGCAAGATCGAATCGACTGTGAGCAAAATGAAAGGAGTGAAGTCTGCGTCTGTGGCTCTGACAACTCAGAGAGGTCGTTTTCGTTATGATGCTGAACTTACTGGCCCACGGGACATTGCGGAGGCCATAGTTGATTTGGGTTTCTCTGCCTCGCCTATTACAAATAAGGACAAAGATGGGCGAGGTTATTTGGACCACAGGTAACATGACATTTTCTGTTCTTTTATGATAATAGCTATTTCAGTTTTTCAAGTTTATTACACATTAACATATGTAAAAGTCTTTACAAAATGGGGTTTAGAGATCAATTATTTTAAATTGTGTTTTATATAGTTTTATATATATGTTAATCGAAAACAAGATATCATTACCGACTGTTACTTTTTGTTGTCTATGAAATATAAACAAGCAGCAAAATTGCGCAAATAAATTTAATATAATCTTTGGGATCGATATATAAGGTACAAATTACCCCTTCATTTGAAAATTCATTTAGGTAGGCTAAGCAATGGATGTTACATGCACTTCTTCTGGTCGTGTACTGTAATGTGTTTCGCTAAACAGTAAGGGTTTTGATAATCTCCTCCTGATCATCTCTTGTTAGGAAAGATTATTATCACAACCAACCTTTATGTATGTCACAATGGAAGGCAGGGTGCGAAGGATGGCGGTCACAGCTGTCGCCTCTTCAGGCGTGCTGCCCTGGTGCAATAGTCCTAGTCTTCTCATTTCACAGCAGGTTATTTATTGAAATCACAGAAATATAGTATTTTAACTTGAAAATAATTTCAACAAATTTGTATTGCAAAGTTAGCTTAAAGGCTTTGCTTCAAGTCTTGTAATGACTTTATCCCAATTATTGCCTTTAAGCACGTAGTCCAAAAGATTGTCAGAGTTTACATGGTTAACATTATCATATCCCAAATACTTCAGATTCCCAATTATATTAACATAGTATGTTATATCAATAGTACTGTTATCATATGCTGAAGTGAGATACTATTATCACAATTGCTTGAGTGACTCATAATGAATTTTCAATGGAGAAAAAAAATTATGTATGTTAATACACGTGTTGTTTATCTCTATTTTTTCATCCACTAGACAACAGAGGTAAATTAAATTACTAATTAAATAAAAAAAGTACTAGTTCAGAAAGTTTTTATGAAACTTGTAAGAATTTTAATTATTAAGTTATTATATAACTCATAATTAAAGAAATATAATTTTAATACACACTACTTGTGTAGTCTGTAGAATCTCATGTACATGATGGCATTTTTGTGGGGAGTTGCTATGTGCAGTAGTTGTTTGTAACTGACGAGAGTATTGAACTTATGAAGAAGAGCAGATAATAAAATGTTTGACTTGAACTTTGTAAGAGTTCCTCCATACATTTGTCTTTGAAAAGGTAGAGCATCATCTTATCTTTAGTATCACATTGCACTATGGCTCAACACTGTGTCTTCTATTATGTTCTCTTTGCCTTCAAATTCCTGTTGAGTTTGGTCTTGCGGTGCCTGTTCAGACTTTTGGTCTTGCGTCAACATGAACTTGCTGTCCAGTTACCTAGTGTTCCTTGCAGACTCGTTTCTCCTCCGCCTGTAAGTAAACTTGCCTATGCATGTGTAAACCTCGGACACTGTTCAGTCACTGGAGCCACTGGTATCTCCTTTGAATGTGCTGCAAGAATTACGCTTACACCTTTGACTGGGATTCTTGTTCACTTTAGCAATTACTTGCAATATAGCCAATGTAGACATGCATCTAAGTTGCGGGCTTGCTCTTCCCTACTTCGGCCTGATCGGATGTGTTGCATAAGGCTCCAGGACCCATGCACACACAGTGCATGCACTGCTTGGCAGCAGCCTATGCCACTAACACTTGAAAACACAATATCTCACTGTATAATTGAAACAGATTGAGATGCATTGAATTACTTTTTCTTAGTCCTGGAAATTGGAAAACAAATGAATTGTGATAAAATAAAATGTATCCATATGTAAAACAATGGCTGAAAACATGACAAAACATTTTAAAAGGACAAAATATGATGTTACATCATCAGTAAAAATTATCATATTATAATTAAAATGCTCTTAATTTCTTATTTTAAATTTGCAGTGCCAATAAATAATGCTAACAATTTCTGGACGCTAGTTATGAAGCTGCTTTCAAATTTTGTATTGAAATTAATTTTTGTGAAATAATGTAAAATTAATTGAAATTAATTTTTGTCTTTTTTTTTCTTCTAGGGAAGACATTGCCAAGTGGCGGACTGCGTTTTTGATCTCCTTGATCTTTGGGTTGCCCTGTATGGTGACCATGATGTACTTCATGATGCACATGTCCTTGGGGAGCATGTCACATGAAGACATGTGCTGCATCATTCCAGGCCTCTCGTGGGAAAATCTCATCCTTTTTGTCTTCTCAACACCAGTACAGGTACTTTACTTAGAACAGCTTTGAGAACAAATGAGAAAAACTGGCTGAAATAACCAGGCATTACGTGGCATTTACTTGTTACTTAACAAGCAGTAAAGGAAATGAATTCTATTTGAAGAGACTAAGAAGGAAATTATTTCGTTTTCATCCCCACCCTGCCACCCTGCCACCCTGCCACCCTGCCACCCTGCCACCCTGCCACCCTGCCACCCTGCCACTCTGCCACTCTGCCACTCTGCCACTCTGCCACTCTGCCACTCTGCCACTCTGCCTAGCAACTCTCCCCATCTTCCTGCTTTACCGTTCTCCATCGGAATAAATTTCTAACATTGACCTTGAATTACTTCAAACTTAAATTTATGATTGAAATAAATCCAAATGTATTTACTCTCTGTGTTGTGGTCAGTTTCCTCTGTTTTTGAGATCTTTGTGAGAAACTGAAAAAGTGCTCTTGAATTCTGCCTTAAGGTATGGGAAAGGAGGACAAGGATAGCTTTTCAAAATCTCATGTAAATGATAACTTCTCCATTGTTTTGAAAGTCAGGTGTACAAAATTCCATTAAGATTAGAATAAGATTTGCATAAAAAGATAACATCAAACATTCTTAATATAGTCGTTATTTAGACTTTCTTTGTAGAGTACTTCTGTGGACTTTCTTAATGAGGTACTTGTGTAGGCATTCTTAATGGGGTACTTATGTAGGCTTTCTTAATATGGTACTGTTGTTTTCTTTGTGGAGTATTTATGTAGCCTGGTGGATTTTTCTCAAACTACTAAGCAATTATTCTACCATAAATACTTTAGTTTATTCCTCGAAATTTTGTTTATTTTCGCATGACAATTGCCCTATTCATGTCTCGAGGTCGATCTGACCTAATAAAATTTTATTTTGTGAGTTAGATAAGTCTGTCTATACAGATTCTCAGTTATGAAAACATTCGTAAGAAATATTTGTTCTTCTTTATATTTGGGATTTGGGAATTTTCTTTACAGTGTTTACAATTATTTATTGATAACGGTTATCTCTGATTCCTCTGCTTGATTTAAACTAAACAAACATACATAGCATTTTATATAACAATTCTAATAACAATATTATTACCCTGTCGTTATTTAATGTTTTGCATTACTCCTCCTTTTCATGCTTGGCTGTTACCTATTATTATTTTAGTTGAAAATTTATTAAGATTATTCCAAAACTTGGTGTTCTTACACTACTTAGATTTACGTGCCATTTAATAACTTCCCTGTTCGGGTCCTCTGCATTTTTGACAGTCGCTTTCAGGCTCATTTAAATTTCCATTTTCAGCCTGGTCTGATTCTATCGTGGCATCATCTTCTTTTCCACACACTGTTTTATACTTCGTTCCACATAAAACATTTCTACTATCTGCAATTTACACAATTAACATGTTTGATTATCTCGGAGAACCTTTCATCAACATCCGATTGTAAGCGAGTCTCAAAGCATTCTGCCCCATTTGTTTATATCATGTGCTATTCTTACGTCTCACCCGATGCACAGTACAGTACCTAATTGTGTTTCTCTTTAGTTCTATTATGCAGGTTCACCATTTCCTTGCACACATTCTCATTTCTAACTGGTTAATACCCGCCCAAGCATTTTATTTAGTTCCTAAAGTACTATCAATCTTTGGATTCTCTTTGTAATTTAACCAAATACCCAAGGAAATTACTCAGGTTGACATATGACAACATATGATGTTCTGTTCACTACCAATTCCACTATTTTTCCCTTTAATCACACCGCCTTCCCTTACATTTTCATTTAACACTCGCCGTACAATTCCTTTTGTGTGCCTCATTATTGCTGTCATTGACCCTTACAGTTTATACAAGATTTGTTTAACTTTTGTTTACCTTTTGATAAGTCATTACAGTAGACTTTCGTAATATGATACATGTAGTCTTTCTTTGTAGTGTATTTATATACACTTTCAATGTTGAGAAGTAACAAGTGGAGTCCCTTGGTCTTGGCCACTGCCTGTGTGTGAATGACACTAGCAGAAGACTATCCTCTGTCTGGAGCTGCTGTATCAGTAACACCAAGTTATTTGCAAACCCACTGAAGCACTACCAGATGCTAAAGCATGACATTGTGAGACCACTATTATATCTTACATGCCTCCTATTAGACATAAAAAATACTGACACCCTGCACCTAATTTTTTGAAGATTGCTCAGAAGGAAAACTTGAGTTGCATTTGCAAAATCTTGAAAGCCATGCTCATTTCGTCATAGCTGACCAAAAGAGCTATTGGAAATATTTTCTACCATACAACCATGGAAAATCACTTATGATTTTCTCAAAACTTATAAATTATTTTTTTGGTCCAGAGAATTTCGTAACAATTGGAAAAAAAGAGGGTGGGCTGACCATATAAATCCTCCTTGTCGCTTGTATTTCATTGTCTGAAATATTTTTATGAAATATTGACAATGAGACCTAAAAACAAAGAAAATGTAACACAGAATCGGTAATCGGAGAATCGGTAAACAAATTAATCACAGTTCTTCCGTACATGTAATATTGAGAACATAAGGAAAGATTAAAGAATATTCCAAGAAGAGAAAGAACACAAGTAAAAGTTATAGAAGTGCCTACTAGTTCTCAATTTCTCAACTCCTACTATTGACTTATAGATTATTTTTAATGTAGTATTTATAAATACAGTCTTAAGTGAGCTGTTTGTATAAATGAGTAAAAAAATTACCGCAAACACAAAAATTACCAAAAATTAACTGCAAACTTCATTCGGTTTTTGGAATCACACATGTTACTAGAGACATCTTTCATGGTTGGTTGTGCTGCAACCTGCCTTAGTTGCAGGCACTATGGTTATGCTGCAACTTATAATTAATGCATAAGTCCAGGTTGAGACATTTTACCACCTTAACAAGATTAAGGGATTTTGCTCTGCCATTCAGAAGCCAGCAAACTCATGATTGCCATTGAAACCATTGCAAGATCTCCATTTTAATGCCTAGCTGTGGCACCACGCTGTTAGGTCAAGATGTTTAGCAAAGATCCTGAATTTCTCACATTGCAGCAGAACCAGGAAATATAGTGTTTGTTCTCAGGCCATCATAAAGAATTGTAAGAGAAACAAACAAACCAAGACCATGGATGATAGCCAGAGAGAATTTGAAGATCCGTTTTATTTCTAATTCTCCTTATAATTTGTAATGTTTTTGTCATAATTTATTGGTGAAGTGATACTTCTCTTCTTAATCTAACAAGCTTGTATTGGTAAATTCGATTGCAAATGTATTACTGACAAAGCATTATATGTGTGAAATTGTAACTGTTTCAGTTTTTTGGTGGATGGCATTTTTATGTGCAAGCTTGGAAAGCTTTGCAACATCATTCAACAAATATGGATGTACTCATCACGATGACAACAACCATATCATATGTGTACTCTGTAGCTGTGTTGATTGCTGCAATGGCTTTGCAACAAACAACAAGCCCCCAAACCTTCTTTGATACTCCTCCAATGCTACTGTTATTTATTTCATTGGGCCGTTGGTTGGAGCACATTGCCAAGGTAGGTCTGAATCTTCTACCCTAAATGATAGGTTGCTTCATTTTTTACTATAAACTTAGGAATGTCTTGAAAGAAGTATCATTATTTGTACATGGAATGAATTATCAAAATATTCCCATGTACATTCACTCATAGTATGTCATTAATTCATTCTTCATTTATTAATTCTGATACAGTAAAATCTGTCTAAACCAAACCTGTATAAACCAGAAATCCGTCTAAGCTGGAAAATTTCTTCGGCCATGAAGTTAAACGGCATTTTACACGGTATAAAACAGAATCTATCCAACACAGAAGTGGAACAATTTTTCAGGTCCTGCAGGGGGAAAAATCTTCGTAAAATAGAATTTCGATGAATTTAAGGCAGTTGGTAGGGGGACTTAAGACACTCGTAATGGAATGAATACATCTGCAGGTCTATATTCATTTCTCTTTCCATATGATATGAGTTTTAGTCATGGCAGCCACATCGTGAAGGAAATGGGCTTAAACTGTTAGCATAGAATTTGACCTTGGAGTCGCTTGTCTTGTTGTAGGCCCTAGGCCAAGGGGAATTCCCTTTCTCCCGGCTCTCTGAGCATGGGAAGAGGTTTACAGGCATGGCTTGTATTCACGCATCTCCTGGCCTCACATTGACAATTGTAACCTGTCAGCCAGAGCCATATTGGTGAAGACCATGCGAGGGTATCTAAAGACATAGTACTCTGGTCTGTGATGCATTGTGCAGTGAAAGAGTCAGTGAACAGTCCGGATGCAGCCACTAGGCAGGGGGTTTTGTGCTTTTATGAATTTCACTACCAATTTAACAAGGATTGGGAAAAAAGCTTTTAAGTCTAAATATTAAAGTTTTTCAACTTCAGTAAACATAATTGAAAAGGGGTAATTGTAAGAGGGGAAAACTAAAAAGCAATAGCTCTAGATGAAAGTTGGAAAACATAATATTATTTTGTGCACAAATTGTGTAGTTGTTGCTTTTAATTGAATTAAATTTAATATTCATTTATTGGTGATTTCTTTTATAAATATGTTACATGATCATATATTTTTATAATTATAATAAAGTCTTGTAATTTACCAGTGTAAAAACGTAAATATATATATAATAAGTGTTTTAATATGGGCAACCCTGCATAAAATGGAAATGTTTCCAAATAGGAATAATTTTTTTCCCGATCTGTTGTGGTTTAGACAGATTTTACTGTATATACAATTAGTAGAGCCTGGAAGTTGAGGAATTTATATTGCCTAAATTACGTAGGCAAAATGGTATTTATTCTGACTAAGTAAGAATGCAAAAAGGCATGGAAACCACAAAAAATCATTTAAAAGGAACTACTGTAAAGAAAAGAAATATCAAAAATGAATGATTCACGTTTTTATTGTATCTCTAGAATTTTCTTTTACACACACATGGAAGGGAACACTCTTCTCTTTTATTATTGTTATTATTATTTATTTATTTTTGTTACTTATGGCTACATTGTATGATGACTACAAATTTGTAGTTTCTTCGTACTTGTAATAGTCAGCACTGAGAGGTATGTATCACATAGAGACTTCTGTCCTCAAAAGGGGTCAGAGGCTTCTAAAGAAGGATGGGATTCCTTGTATGTGAACAATTCTTGAATCATCAATGAAAAAATTAAAAATCTTGACTGATATCATCTCCCTTTCTCATTTGGACTTTTAACACTACTCTTACCTGATGTCTCTGCTTCCAAAGGAAGGCGAAACTTGACCATGAATTCATGTCATTCAGGTTTGCAGATTTGTTTCCAGCTTGGTTATTATCAGTGTCAGGAGAAAAGAGGAAAATAATGACAAAAAAGGAAAAGATGAGGCGAAATGGGCATCAGAAACTAAAATAAGCCAAATCAAAATTAAAATTTACTAAAACTTCCTATTGTTAAAAGCCATAGTCATAACAATATCAGCAACAACAACAACAATTCAAACAAAACTAATTTTTTCAGTTTCATTTCCTTTTGATGCATTACACAAAAGGCTTACATTATTTGTAGTTATTTGGCAATCGTAACCATACCAATAACTATGATAATAAATTTGTGTTTTTAATTCTGCTTTGCATTGTTTATCCATTTACTTCTCATTATCAATTCAATGTGTTGACTGCTGTAAATGTAACAAATTTATTTTGTAAACAGGCCATAAGTTAATTTTATTCCTAATGGATTTATAAGGGACAAAGTATTATATAATACTTGGTAAAAATATCCAAAATTTACTTGTATAACAGTAATTTGTATGTGTGAATCAGTGTTTAATCACGCAACCTGAACAATGCAACCTGGAAGATAATATTGGGTTTGAAGCATCTTTGATACACATGTCTCGGATATGTTGTGCTTTGGACCTATGCAGAGGTATTGTAGGAAAGCCATAATACTGTGTAAATTTATTTTTGTACTTATGATATTGTTTTTACTACATAGACGTTAAAAAATTCTGAATAATGTATGTCTTTAGTGTAAAGCATCCCAATAAATAAAAAATAAAAAAAATGAAAATTGATTTAAAGTAATTGAGAATGAGTTATAAAATCATTAAAAGGAATGTTTTCTTTTTCCTAAACTGCACTGTTTTCTTTTTTCTAAACTGCTACCCTAAAGCAGCATTGTCTAAATTTAGCATTGCCTAAACGGCAAGCTAGAAATCATATTTTCAGTCTACAAATCATTTTTCAAGCCTCATTACTGTAATATCATAAACATTGTTGTTTCAGTTGAAATATTTATTTTGCTTATTATATTTCTGTTTTGTACCACACTTGAAATTGCATGTGGGTATTGTGAGTGTTAAGGCAATGCTTTATAACTTGAGTATATCTTGGTAATTATCAACAATCATTGGAGATCTGATACATGACATTTATGCTGTGAATGCCCCATAGGTATTTTGTGGCTCTTGGTGGAATAACTATGCTTTGTATTTGTCCATTCTGCCGGGGAAGATCACCGCCACCTCCTGAGAAACGAGAAATGGGACTATACTTACAGGACTAATGACATTAGCAGTTGATGTGCCCAGAATCATTAATCAATTAATTCTTACAATGTCAATCACATGATATTGAACTCTTTTTGGTCTTTTGTAATGATGTTATCCTATTATCTGTAAAAATGTAATATTTCTTTAACATTCAATCATTTCTTTACAGGGGAAGACATCAGAAGCACTTTCAAAGTTACTTTCTTTAAAACCTACTGAAGCTCTGTTAGTTAAAATTGGAGAAGATATGGAAATACTAAATGAACGTCAAATTTCTGTTGATTTAGTACAACGAGGAGATGTTTTGAAGGTATATTTCATAATTTTAATCTTAAATTGTTTACTATTTTTGTTGTTGTATGTGGTAAAGAATTCTTAGATTATCTAATTTTCTATTTAATTGTGTACAAAATTTCACTTCATCTATATATAATTTTTTCATCTTCACCCTTCATGCCAATGGCATAGGATAAGGGATTGCCAGGGTCATGTAATTATCGTGAACATGATGTTTGATCTCATAACTCAGACCTAGTGAGCAGATATCCGGATAATCAAGGTCCTGGGTTTAGATCCTGAGGGAATCAAATATTTGCACTTCAAGACAATCCATTACCTATACACGATACATATTTGATAATCAAAAAGATGAAGAACTCTTTTCAATTTCTTTGACTTAATTTGGATTCATTCAATCATCATGTGCTCGACTTTGTGCAAAATATTTTAAGCACTTTGCAAGTATAGTAGGCTTTCTCTCAGTAATTTCTTAAAATATTAGCATCTTTAAAATGTGTTTCATCGTTTATGTAGCATTTACATTAGCTAAATAGCTAGTAGCTAAATAATTAAACATAATTCAATGTTCTGTGTTCTCTGCAAACTTTCTATTTCATTCAAGAATATGAAACTATGTGAAAAATTGTATAATATTATAAATAATAATTAATGATTGAAAATTATAAGAAATACGTTGAAATAAATTGCTATTTTAAAATTAAATTTAAAAAAAACTTTTTTTATAGGTATTGCCAGGGGCCAAAGTACCTGTTGATGGCAAGATTATTTTTGGTCATTCAACATGTGATGAATCTTTAATTACTGGAGAATCCATGCCAGTGCCCAAAAAGAAAGGATCTGTTGTTATTGGAGGATCTATTAATCAGAACGGGATGCTTCTACTTATTGCCACCCATACAGGAGAGGCCACCACTCTAGCACAAATCGTGCGACTCGTTGAGGAGGCTCAGACATCGAAGGCCCCCATCCAACAACTGGCTGACAAAATTGCTGGTTACTTTGTTCCTTTTGTTGTTGTGGTGTCAACGATTACTCTTTTGGGGTGGACTATTGTTGGCTTCGTTGATCTTGGATATTTGCATATCAAAGTAAGACACTTCTACTTTTTGGATTATTGTGATTTAATTTGAATAGATTTTGATTCTTTTAATGAGTTCTGTGTAATTTTAATAATATTTGCACTATGCGATGTTCTGAAGTATGTACTAATTGTGTCTGTAATGTGCCAAAACTCAATAGTTGCTAAAAATTAAAACCACTACTACTTAAAAAATATTTTACATTGGCTGAAAATATTAGTACATTTGATAATCGTTTATATTATTTCTGTTGGAGAAATTTCTTTTCCAGACAAAGTACCAAAACATTTAAGAAAACTATGCTATCATAATTTTTGTTAAATTGTAGATTATTACAGGTAGAAATATTTGGGGAAAACATGAACATGTATGGGACATGCTTACAAGTATGCAGTGAAACATGTCTTGAGGAAATGTAGGGAGTCATGTGGAGATATGGAAGGTAGTATGAGCGGTTCCCATAGGGAAATGTGTAGGAGTTTAGGCGAAGAACCAGAAATATGTGAAAAAATTGTGGGGCAACATGTTAAGAACTTGCAGAGAATATGTGAGGGAGCATACAGACAGCAGGTAGAGCTCAAATTATGATTCTTAAGCAGTATTCTACAATAACAGATCCTTTTGTGCCATCTGTTACCTTTTTGGATGTTTATGTTTTTTTGCTCCCTGATTTGGTAGTTTGCCTGGGTGGTCAGAAATTAGAAGACTCTCAAAATTTATGTAAACTAGTATAGATTGGTGCTTAAATAAGCCCAGCATGACGAGTCTACAATTCTTCCACATACAGTTACGGGAAGTTTGTATAAGTATGTACAGGCTGTATAAGCTCACAAGTTCTCATATTTTTAAAACTGACAAAAATAAGCGTATGTATTAAATCATAGTCATTATGCATTTAAAAAATATTACTAGAAAGTACAATACTTGTATCAAAGCAACAAGTAAAATTAAAATACAGTTAACCGGTAGGTAAACTTTCAATGGAATTTATTCAATATCACCTTTATAGATGAAATTTTAAAATATAACTCATAAATTTATAAGCATTGACTAATTGGTTATTAAGTTCACTATTTACTCCAGAAGTTTAGAGAGAATAGTGAAAGGTTTTTAATGAGAAATTAGTGTAAAATTTACAGTGTAATATAGGATTATGGTGTAAAGTCATCAAAATGGATTTTTGTTACTGTAGAATATTATTGATAGTTTTCTCTTTTATTTCATGTTTTACTCCATTTTTTCCCCTCTTTTCTTTTTGTACCCATTTTAACATAACATTATGTTGCAGGAAAAAGACATGGAAGGATTCAATCGGGAAGAGATAATCTTCCAGTATGCCTTTCGCTGTGCTCTGAGTGTACTGGCAATCGCGTGTCCGTGTGCTTTGGGTCTTGCGACGCCGACGGCTGTGATGGTTGGCACTGGAGTTGGAGCACTGAACGGCATTTTGATTAAAGGGGCAGAACCTTTAGAAAATGCTCATAAGGTGAAATCTGTGGTATTTGACAAGACTGGAACTATCACTTATGGATCTCCAATGGTTTCCAGAATTTCATTGTTTGTAGATGAACACGTCTGTTCTCTTGACAAACTTTTAGCTTTGTTGGGGACAGCTGAAGCAAATAGTGAACATCCCATTGCATCAGGTAATTTCTAATAAAAGTGAAGTGTTGCTTTGTACTTCCTATTTGTAAGATATGACTGTACAATAATTTATGGTAGTTCTGCAATACATTGGTTCCAGAGAAAAAGTGAAAGTGATATTTTTATTCATCATAAGAGATAAACTTTTATTGCCTACTGAATTCACCATAGATCAGTGTTTATTATTTATATTCTGTTTTTCCTGTCCATAAGTCTCATTTGGTGCAGATCAGGAAACTTGCAGCTTGTCGCTGGGGTTCTGGGCACAATCTTGATTATTAATGTGCCTCGACTATTGGGTTCAGTACTAGAAACTGAATTTCAATGTGCTAAAAATAAGATCACATACTTGGACAGAAATAACCCTTTTTGTGGTATTCATTGGCATTATTTGCAATATTTATTAAAAATGATAAAGACATGTTCTCCCTTGGAAAAATACTTGGGTACTTGTTGTAAAAATGTTTCTCTAATTCTTCTTTGACTGCACTAGTTTACTTATATAATTTCATTTTGCTGGCAAAGACAAATAATTTTCAATTTTATTTGCAGCAATTGTTACCTTTGTACGTGAAATATTTGGCAGTGAAATAACTGGAAAGTGCTCCAACTTTGTGGCTGTTCCTGGTTGTGGCCTCAAGTGTAATATATCAAATATAGATGTGCTCCTCTCCCAGGCTCGCAAGTCAGAAGCTCTTGTTAATTATCACAATCAGTACAGGTTAGCATTAATACCTACAATTTATTGTAAATTTGTAAATGTATTTTCATTAATTTGTATTATATTACATACATAGAAGTATAAACACGAGACATTAAAAAAAAATTTGAAAAATACAAAATTCACTTTGAGATTGTTGAGATCTTGTTGAGATTTTTTCTGTGCAAGTGTTCAAAAATATAAGCCTTCAGTCCATATTATGCATCTTTTCCCCTGTTTTTTTGTTATAATACATGTTTTCGGGTACCCAGTGAGTATTTTAACTTTCTTGTATTCTTCTCATGGAGCAGGGGTGTTCAACTAGCAAAGCCTCAAGGGCCACAACTGGTACCTTTAATCTGTTTGCAATCCATACTTTCATTACTCGGGCGATCCTCATGTGACCCTGTGTTGTTGAGCAGTTTGCCCGGCCGGTCTGAAACGAGGGGGAGGGGGATAGAACTATGTGTGATATCAAACCGTACTAAGCATAAGGAGTTAAACACATTGAGGTGATTTTGAATTTCTGAATTTACTTGAAAAAAAATCCTTAGATCAAAACGTAACCAGATTTTACATTAAGGAGCTGTTGACTCCGACAGGGTGCATGCACTAGGTGCAATGTTCTCACCCAATATCAATGCGAGGGACTTCCATGTTTGTCTAATAACATTTCACAGGCCTTAATAAATGCTCACCACTGGCCGCCAGTTGAACAGCCGTGACATAGAGAGTTAAGTAGTGTTGTAGGAAAAGAGTACTAATATTTTGACAGAAAAACAGATTTTTGAGTCCCTGATACCAAAAAAAGTAATTTCTCAAATATCTGTCAGTCTATTTATCTAAAAACAATCCAGTGCCTAAACTTTGCACTGGATTTCGTGACACTGTACACTTGGATTGATTCCTGCATGCAATTTCAGATAAATATTTTATAGTGACAAACAAAAACAATAGGTGGCACATTTGAGATTTCTAAGGTACCTGATGGGAATTGCAAGAGGAGACAGACTGAGAAATAAAGCCATCAGAAAGAAATTGAAAACCAAATGTTTAGTAGAAGAGTTAGAACTGTCTCAAAGAAGACGGAAAGATGATTTACAGAGAATGAACAACAACAGATATCCAAAATTAATTTGGAAGTACAAACCAATAGAGATCAGAGATGGAGGCAGACCACTAACAAGGTGGCAACAGCAGGAACACTTGGAAGACTAATTATCTTCCAAGAATACTGTAATAAACCTCCAGTAGTATCCACAAGGTTTCATATTTTTACCCCTTTCTCCTCCATGGAGCCAACGGAAAATTTTGAGATAACGAAAAAATGATCTGGACTGATGTCACATCCTCCATAGACATGAACATCTTTAATTAATGGCCACATCTTTCTATTTGAAATAATGTAGTCAATAATAGAGCTTGAAACTCCACTTCACCGCGTGACTGTAGTCTTGTCTTTCTTCCAGAACAATGTGTTACATATTTTCAAATTGTTATAGGTATAGAAATGTCTCAGTGAATTTCCATTATCGTTTATGTGATATTTCCCCATTGTACCGACGATGTTTAGGATTGGATTGTTACACACTCAAGCATTCAGATCTCCCCAGAGTATAACATAATCCATTTTATTTACATTATTCAGGTATTTTGGTCGTTTTCATAGAACAGATGGCTTTCCTCGTTACTGCCAATACAGTCCAATAATAAACAAATGTCCTCTGTCTATCTTCAATATCATTGTTACAATTCTTTCATTTATCCAGTTATAGGAGACAATTTTATTTTTCCATGATTGACTAGAATTGCAACCTCTGCTTCAGCTCGACAGTTTTGATTTACCCCTCTGTATGTCAATAATATACATAATTTTTTAACTACTTAGTTCCTTTTAATGTCATCTTTGTTTCTGTAACAACACATATAGTTATATTCTTCTCTTTGAGTTCTTTGACCAGTTCAGACTCCTTCAATCATATACCTCTTACATTCCAGATGGCCACAACAATACCTTCCCGTATTCCTAATTTCTTGACCTTGTTTGAGCAGTTCGAGCAGTGGTTGTCAACAGAGACAGTCCGTAATTGATTTCAGTAAAGTATACTTGTAATAACTTTTTTATGCAGTAAAGGCCTCATGCGCAACCCTCAACCTGGAGGACCAGAAGATTTAATTTTGAGCTTTCCATGTCTTTGGGGATTGTTTTTTGTTCGACAGCAGCATCCTCCTCCTTGTACCCCTTTTCAGTGTGTCCTTATTACTCAAGGCAAGGGTAAGCCTTTCAAAAATCGTTCATCTGAGGTCCTTTTTTGGAGTACTGCTTTGTCTGACCCCTCTCCACCAACCTGTCCAGCAAGGCAGGCCCTACCAATAGTTACACTACTGCCGGCATAGCTCTCAGGGTCATTGAGGTACCAAGCTCCTCCACCCACGTAAATATCATGTAGTGAAACAAACTTTAAACACCAACATCTATCACGGTCTTCATCTGCAAAGAAAAGGAAGAGTGAATACATTGAGTGGGAGAATTCAAACTTGTTCACCTTAACTATGAATTCATACATCTCTGTACTTATTCCTTAATTAATAAAAAAAGGTGAGAAAGGGGGTGATTACGGCCTTTGTAGCATCCCTAAACCCATTTCAAATACCATTTCTTGGGTGTGAATATTGTTTTTCCATCGAAAACTAATGTTCTTTTTGTTAAGCCATTGAAATCAATTTTTTTTCGATACTGCCTTAACTCTCTTTGTATGTAGGTATGTATGTGTGTATGTATATTTAAACTATAGTACATTAATAGACAAGTTTTTGATTTTTATTCACTGTGCAGGCATGGCTACAGTGTAAATGTGAATGGTGTTATGATTGACACCAACTTGAATCACCATAGATCACAAGAGAAACAGGCGATTACTTTGCAACAACTTCTCAACATCAATGCTCCAGCAGAGAATGTCTGTGAAACATATGAGGTTTGTACAATAAACTACTAAATATTTATATTATTCCTTAGTTAATTTGCTATGCTTTTGCACTTTATGAGCTGCCTCAACTTCTAGGTGGTTGTGGCTATGTTTTGTATTTAACTCTCATTTAATTTTCATATTTGACTTTTCTTCTGGTTATCATTTGTTCTTTGCTGAACTTTCCTAATTTCCTTCTTTTAAGTTTTTTATAATGTATTACAGTCATTTTGTTTTTAATATGAAATTGCAGTTCTCAAATAATGAAAAATATATATTCATTTATATATTTTTTCAAAATGTTCAATTGAGCTTCAAATTTATGAGACATCTTAAAGTAATTAAAAATGTTTGATCTTCTATCAGGTTGGACTTGAAATACCCTTCAGTTATTCTCTTTCTGTTTTTATTATGAAATCATAATGTGGGCTTTTTATTTTCTCGCCCTTTGTAAGAAAATAAAATATTGTAATTGTGTGCTGGAAACTGAGTAATTGTGTGTTTCCTAGGAAATATCTCAGGGAGACAGCACAGAGAACATACTACCTCCCATTGCTTAACTGCTCAACTTTTTATGCCTGATTGCTCCCTGTAACGTGTAGGAAAACTCCTAATAGGCTCCTAATGGGCAGATTTCTTCCTACTTTCCTAGGAACTTTGAAGGTCCATCTCACCACTTGCTCCTAATTTACTGCAAGGAGAAAAATCATTGATTTTGGCTGTTTAAGATAGAAGTATGAAATGACTAGCACTCACAAATACTTGAGGAAAACACTTATGCCCTATTAGGAATTTGAACCCACATCTTTCCATAGACCAAGCACTGCCTACTGATTATGGTGCCTTTCAGACAGATAAATGTTTAAGTACAAAATTCCCTGTCAGCAATAAATATCTTTTTGCAGGTGCATATTGGTAATCGTGAATGGATTCGACGCACAATTGGAGAAGTGCCCACTGACATTGACAGCCACATGATAGATGAGGAGGAACTCGGGCGTACGGCAGTCTTGTGTGCAGTTAATGGTAATGTAGAAATTTAAAAAAATTAACATGTAATTTCACATCACATCAATTGGCTTCAAAGAGTACTGCATTGATTTTTTCGATTTCTCTTCCTAATACTTGACTGTACTGATCCGATTCTAAATCATAATTATGCAAGAATCTTGCAAATGCCGGGTATTCCACCTCTTAAATCTTGTATGACATTCAGTGACATTGTTTTCCTATATAAATGATTGCATGGTACCATTGATAGCCCACTATTACTTAGTAAACTGTTGTTTCCTGTCCCTAATAGGTTTACTTATTAAACCTTTTTTCTTGCGTAATTATTCTAAACTTTATACATCAAATACCTTTTTCTGTAAAACTTGAAAAATTATAAATAATCAAAATTTAGATATTTTAGATTTTAGTATGAGTGAGTTCATAACATATTTGAGATCATCAGTTCTCCAATATACAGTTCTTATATACTTGTAATATATTTAAATTTTTTTATGTTTAGTCACCAACTTACATGTAAATTATTTTTCTTAAAAATTTTATTTTTGTTATAAATAATTCTTGAATTCTTCTATTGTGATATACTTGTAAATTGAACATATTAATGTCTGTAGAGTACATAAATAAATAAATAAATAATATAATTTAAATATTACACAGTAATTCAATATCCCTATTAAAACGATGATGGCCACATAAAACCAGTGGATATCAGATGTTGTTAGCTGTTATTTAAAAGATAAAATTTAGGCTTCGTTTACTCCCCTACCCCAACATTTAAGTTCATTTTGAGTGTGTCTACACCTGCATTAGCACAGGCATGTACACACACACACACACACACACACACACACACACACACACACGCTTACGCACACGCACACTCACACGCGTATGCACACACATGCACATGCTTGCACATGCATCTCTCTGCATACACATGCACACAAAAAGTGAAAATGGGTGTCACAAGGTCGTCAGTAAGGACCCCATTCCAGGTCCACAACCTCCACCTCAGGGGAGACTCCTATAATGACTTTTGGCCGACAATATTTTTTCCAAGCTGCCTAGTGTTGGAATATTTGGCAGTGTGGCGATATACATTTTTCCAGAAAGAAATTAATTTCCAGCATGTTGCATTTTCTTATAGCATGTTCATTATAGCCGAGGTTTAAAGTTCATTAAAACCAAATCTTCTTGTGCTTGTTTGTAATGTAGTGAAACAGACCAGATTCTTTAGTTCACTGTATCTGAGTTCACTATAACCAAATGATGTGAATACTTTTGCTGTGGCAACATTTTAATCCTTGTGGAGCAACTAATGAAAGTAGCTTTATAACACCCTGCAAGAATGAAGTGATGTTTTAGCATGAAGTAGAGTGGCTAATGTTTAAAATTCAAATGTTTTTGTTTGGTGCATAATATGCTTGGAAGCCTTGTGAACATTCTGATAGCATTTTGTATCTATTTTCTTCTTTTTCTTTTTGTTTCTCACCAAATAATTTCAGATGAATATAATATTACACACTCAAAGAGCTACTTGTTCAATCTTATTTACTTTTATATTATCAACATGATTCTGCGATTTTTTTTTGTTATAATGCTGTTAACTACAATAATAAAATACTTCATTGCACATACTCGATAACGACAATTAAAGTAAGATCTCTGAAAATCTATAACTTGGACTCATTTCTTGTTTTCTCTGAGACAAGATATTTGCCTATGTTTTGCTAGCCAATATTTACATTAAGTTCTCCAATTTTTTTCCAGTTTTGTTAAATGAATACATAATAATGTCTCTTCAATATCGTAATTGTAATTAAAAAGATTTTACTGATTTTATGTGCTCACACATTTATTGAATATGAGTAAAAGAAAGTGTTCAATAATGAGATTTTTTTAAATTATTAAGATTAAAGGAAATTTAACAGAGTGTAATTCTCCGATGCTTGGTAGTCACCAAAGAATATTGAAGAGTAATTTTTACATTAGAAATTAACATATTCATTAACTTCATTTAATCTTTCCTCTATTCTGTAGGTATTTTGGTGGCATTAGTTAGTGTAGCAGATATGGTAAAACCTGAAGCCCACTTGGCAGTGTATTCTCTGAAAAGAATGGGCCTTGAAGTAATTTTATTGACTGGAGACAATCGAAAGACTGCTGCAGCGATTGCAAGACAAGTAAGTCTGAGTTAAATTATTTTGACTTTTGATTGCATCTTTTCTAGTAAATTTTGGGAAAACAATGATATTTTCAAAATGTGAATGAACAGTACCAAATGAATGTGAATAAAAAACTGAAATGAAGCATGTTAACTGTAATAGTATAAGTATATAGTATAGGTATGAAATTTTAAGGTTGTCAACATTTGATTTCATTGCATTTGGGCTGAGGTGCATACAAAATTATTGTTCACTTACCTCTTTATAGAAGCCAATTTTGTTCTGAATAAAGCAAATACACAAACTTTTCTTCCACAAACATATGTACCAATTTTGTATTTGAAACGTCTCTCTATACTGTAGAACGGAAGAGCGAAAAATAGAATCCCAAGGTATGACAAATGTCTCGCTTCTGGTGACAATTATGTAAAAAGTACTGCAACATATGCTGAATCTGTGACAATTAGGTTTTTCCATGGTATTATGTTTCTTCTTATTGATGACTTAGGGAATCTCACTTTTTGGAAGTGCCACCTCGTATCACCCTTCTCTCCAAGCCTCTCACCCTTCTCTCCAAGCCTCTCTGCTAAGAAGCATCTGACTCTGTCGTCTTGAACAGTTAACAAGTATTTAGTCAGAGTTGGTGAATGAGTGTGCCATCTCATAGTAGAGCTGTTGTTTTTTAAAAATTTTAGATAATGAGCAGAGAAAGTGAGAATGTGTGCATGTTAATCTTTTTCTTTATTATTGGTACAGCATTGGTACATTTCTTTATTAATGGCCAGCAAAATACTTTGGGTTATTGATCTAAATGGACATGATTTTTTTTAATTAATGGAATTTAATTTGTATTAATTCATTGCGATTTTAAACAATAGAACTTACTTTGCACAATCAGTTTTTTGGAGGAAAAATTGGCATTTAGCTGAAAAATATTGTTAAAGTATTCAAACATATGAGTAATATTATACATAAAAACTGATCATTTGTGTATCAATTTTTCACAGGTAGGAATTCGACAAGTATTTGCTGAAGTTCTTCCTTCACACAAAGTTGCCAAAATACAACGATTGCAAGAGCAAGGCGTTCGTGTGGCGATGGTAGGAGACGGTGTTAATGATTCTCCTGCTCTTGCGCAAGCAGACATTGGGATTGCTATTTCTTCTGGCACTGATGTTGCAGTTGAAGCTGCTGATGTTGTGCTTATGAGGGTAGGTTTCTTTATTTAATAATGTTTAACTAGTCAAAAACATGTGATTACATTACACAAAAAAATCTATGGTTTATTTATTGAATATATATGGAGATATAAATTGAAAATTGTTTTAAAAATGCACGTGAAATTTCTTCCAATTTTTAATGAAGTAATTTTGGTTTAACCCAGATGATATGGGAAGGACAAGGGAGGAAGTGCTAATTGGAAAATTTGTCTTGGTGAAGAAGTGTTACTAGAGGGGCTACATTTTGCTTACATATTTTTTAACGTCATCTTAGTTTTATTTGTATTTTTATTTTAATCTTTTTAGAATAATTCTAGAAATTGTTTTTGTTATTAAAAATTAGTTAAAATTTTTACTAGGTTAGTGACTTCTTTTGATCTGTTGCTGATCCCTTGATCAGGCTGATTTGTTGATCAGTAATGTTTGTCAGTAAGTTGCTGTGATTGTAACTGAATTAATATTGATTATTAATAAAAATTGTTAAGGTTTTAGATTATAGGTATGAAATTAATTATTCATTTGGAAAATGCATTTTGCAGTAAGGCATGCTCTTGATGATTGTATGTAGTTTTCAGAATTGTTAATGGTCATGAAATATTTTGTTTTTTTATTTCAAATAGAAGGCATAAAAATGAAAGAATGAAGATGACTGAAGCAAGATACTTATTTCACAAAATGGAAATTATTAACATATTTCTTAAAAAGCAAATAAACGTTTCTTGGTACTAAATTCCCACAAAAATAGTACAAGTTGTTCCAATTGAAAAGACCATAATGTTTATAAAATATTGACTTACTTAATCAGCATATTTAAAATTTGCTTTTTCATTTTCTATGAAAAATGTTGGGAAAGAATTTATTTCTTATAAAGTTCGTATGATATTAATCTTTTGCTTTGTTTTGTTTTTCAGAATGATCTCCTTGATGTTATTGGCTGTTTTGACTTATCTCGAAAAACTGTAAGACGTATTCGCCTCAATTTCCTCTTCGCCAGCATGTACAATTTGGTTGGGATTCCAGTTGCTGCTGGTATCTTCAGCCACTTTGGCTTCATCCTTCAGGTGAGAAATCTATTTAATGTGAGATGTTGTATGTGTCATTATTAGAGAGTCCTTTGGAAGAAAGTTTTGAACTATACATTTTGTTTGGGAATCAAATGTGGACGAAATTGAAGAAATCTGCACAGTTTATCATTTCTTTTTACTTTTTGTTACTATGAAACTGTGAATTTTAATCTATGAATAAAATATAGGATATATGAAAGAATTGAAGAATAATAGGGATCATTATCTTTCTTCCTTTTGTCTTCGCTTCTCTTGGAAAGCCAAAATGCAAATTTCAATTTGTTAAGAAGTTGATTCCAATAGTAAGAATTTAGCTTCATCGTTCGATTGTCTTTGAACTATAGTTTATTGTTTCTGTAGACAACTATTTCAAGAAATATTAAAGTTTTATGAACAGTAATCTTGAATTCATTTCTTCTTTAAATTTCTTGTAAGAATACTGTGAAATGCACTTATAAATAGGTCAAAATTTAACTGTAAATTTGTGACAATTGCAAAACTGAAATTTTTTTGACATTATTGAAGATAAAGATGCTGTATGTACATGACATAAACACAATTACAGTGTATTCTTTTGACTTTTCAAAAACAACACATTTAATTTTTTTAAATAGCATTCAGATTGTTAATATTTACATTACAGGCATTTTTTGTGTGTTGTTTCATCTATGAGTACAAGTACGAAAAATTATTTCTTTTGGAGGTTCTCAAAATCTGATAAACTGTTTGTGAACATTAGATAAAAATTTAAATAGGGAAAAGAAAGAGCAATCGAGCAGTAAGTGCTAGTTTTCTGGACTGACACATACATAATACAGCCATGTGAGAATCTGATACTAAATGACGATTTGATTGCAAGACCAGTGCAGGTCAACAGAGACCATAAGCATTAAAACTAATGAATATTTGATGATATGTCACCATACTGTACTGTACTTGAAATGTCTATTAAACACATCTTCCTTAAAAAGTTGTAAATTTGTTCAATATATCACAAAATGTGAAAATAAGAAGTATTGTATGTAAGGTAATACAGATGTATTGAAAGCCAAGTGTTTTGCTAGTGGATTTTAATGGAAATAATGGAAATTACCCCGGATGGGATTGTTAGAAAATATTTGAAATATCCCAAGAAGAACATTGATAATGCTAATTGAGCTCTGAATCTTGTGGTGTGGTAAACAGATGGCTGTGATTATTTTCTCCATTACAGCCATGGATGGCTTCTGCTGCAATGGCTGCCAGTTCTGTCTCTGTTGTTGGATCATCACTTCTCCTGAAGATGTAAGTTTGCCATTGTTTAAATAACAATAATAGAATAAAATTGTAATTTATAATGGGATTGCACTTTTTACTACTAAAAGTCATATTTTGTCAAAATTCTCAAATTTGAAAAGTGTATTTTCCTTGAAATTGAAAAGATTATGTAATTTTTTAACAGGCACATTACTGTTGTTAAACAGTCACATTAGTAGTTTATTTTGTGTAACATTTATACTCTTTTTTGAAATCTATTTGAAAAATTGTTTCTCGAGTTCAGCATTGTAAAATGACATTTTTTTTAATTTGAAAACTATTAAGTAACATTTTACATACATGCTCCATATTTAAACTGGCCATTTGCAGTTGAAATGTACAGTTTGGGCTACTGGAGGAAGAAATGTGTAGAAGTTATTTGCATGTATCAGTTTTTTTCTTTAAATTTCTTGTAAGAATAGAGATCGGTTTTCAGTGTTAATTTTGAAACTTTAAAAACTGTAAAACTGTAGTATGAAAGTATTTTGGTATCATCCTACAACTATAAAATTGAAGATAGAGATTTTTCCTTCAAATGAAATTTGTTGCCCATAATTAGTTCTTTCATTAAGGTCATTTTTTTAGTAATTTTCTTACCATATTGCTTGAAATATGTACAATATTAAAAAATATCAAAAAGAAGAATTCCATAAAAAGGCCACAAACTTTTACTTTCCCATATACATATGTATGTATGGAGTAATAGACCTAGTATATAGAAAGTTATGTAATGCTGTGGAAAATTAATTTTGAGATTTCAATAGAAATACGTGTTTTGGGGTCCCTTGATACCAAAAAAGTGTTCTTTTTTCTTTCTTTCTCCCAACACATCCGTCCATGAATAACACTAGCGCCTAACGTTGAATTTTTTCCAAAATGTATTGATCCCGGTCGACTCGAGGCGTTGCAATATCGAAAAACTTTCTTTAAAATTTGGGGCTTCTTTACATGAAGTTCCAGGGACATTATCAATATTTTCCCAGAAACGGCTCCTAACTTTTTCTTTAAACTTTTGGTAGGGGTAGTGCTAAATGTACTCCAAGAGGACATAAACCCCATATTCTCTCTTCTTTTTCTCTCTCAAAAATTACAAAAATGTATCTTTTTTATTTGTCTCTCATGTCATTAATATTTACATTAGCTGTAGTTTGTTCACATTATTGTATTTAAGAATACGTGCGCTTTAAATAATGTCTTATAAAGTTTCACAAAAACTCAATAATTTTCTGTGAAAATGAGCTCAAAATTTCACTTATTCAGAAATGCTCAAACACCGTTTTCTCAGTAATGGCTCCAAACGTTTTCTTGAAACTTTTCCAATTGATAGTACTAATCGTACTGTTTTAATGTGACTTAAAGTTCATTTGGGAATTTACCTTTGCTTTTTTAAAAATTCGAAATTTGTAATTTGTTTAAAATATCTCGCACGCCGTTAATATGCCTATTTCCGGCAATCTGTATACACTATTTCATTTGTGAGTTAAAGTGTTTTAATTGGCTTCGAATAAAGTTTTGGAAAACTCAAAAATTTTGGGTGAAAAATAGCTTCAAACTTAGCAGCTACATTAACGCTTAAATGCCATTTTCTTAAAGGCTCCAAAGTTTTAAAGAAAAAGTGCCTTTTACAACAAGCTTTACTCTTCGTTAATGTTCTTAAAGTAATATTTTGGTTCTATCGTTACAACACCGAAAAATTGAGAATTTTGTTAAAAAAAGCTTGTAGTTAGGGCGAATTTTCAGAAATGCTCAAACGCCATTTTCATAATATTGGCTCCAAATATTTTCTTTAATTTTTTTAAATATATAGTGCTAAATAGTCATGACATATATCCCACTTTAATGTATTCTTTTGTTTTTTTAAAAATACACAAAAGTTTTTGTTTTTATAATATATTTCATGCTGTTAATATTTACATTACAAGCAATTTGTATACATTATTGCATTTGTGAGTACAATTGCTTAAAATATTTTCTTATAATGTTTCTCAAAAACTCACAAGTTTTGGGTGACAATGAGCTTCAGAATGCACGTTTTCAGAAACCCTCAAACATTTTCTATAAAAAGACTCCAAATTTTTCAATGAAACTAATCATGTAGTTCAAGGCTTTACTCTTCTATAATATTCTTAAAGTTTAATAGACTGAAAAATTGAAAAATGTACTTTGAGCAGTGCTAGATGGCAGCTATGAAGAGGGTGAGACAAAATCAAAACACTAGCTCGGACCAAAGAAATTAGAAAACTAACTAGTACAAGAAAGTCTATGCTATTCTATAGCACAACTAGTTATCTTGATTTAAATGTGAATTATTATTATTGTAGAATACTGAAATATTATTATCAATACTTTATTGTTTTGTCCTTTTTTATTAACTCTAGAACAGTTTGAGAAAAGTCAGTTTTTCAGTTTTTTTTAGAAAATAACCATAAACCAATCAGAGTACTGGAATTGACATGTTTATGTCTTCCTTACAGGTACCGAAAGCCTACAAAGGAGAGCCTACAGACTGCAGAATATACAACTGCTGCAACTGCTCATAATGTTGCGTTACAAGAACTAGATTCAGTTTCCATTCATCGAGGCCTTGATGACATCGAACGCCCCATCTTCTCTCGATCTACCAGCTCAACTCTTTCCAGGTGAGACGATCACTTTATAATATTCTTTTCATTACTCATACATGGAACAAGTACTTGCCTTCGCTCTTTATTTGTTGGAAAGAGTTTCTTTTCGGGTGCACACTGCAAAGGAGTTACGGCAGTAACAAATGACTGGATGTTGCATAGTAAACAAGCTGTGGCAGTTGGAATCAACATGGCTGTCACATTGCATATTGAGTATAATCTCAAGAGTTCATACTTGTATATTGCTACAATCGCATTTAACTTGGGTGTTTAGGCATTGCATCAAGCTCACAGTAGTTTTTTGTTGTGATAACAGGTGGTAAGTAATTGTGAATTGTGGCAATTAATTAATAATAAATTATTAGACAGGTTTTATTCAGTTGTGCTGACATGGCTGCTCCAGCATCACCAACTATTTTGTTTTTTAGGTTCAGAAAATATATTGTACTAAGTATATAATTGCATGTACTTATTTTATACATTAGTAAATATAGGCCTACAATAAAATACAATGTATACAGAAAAATTACCACATACATATTCTATTAAGCAATTTTTTCTCCAGAATTGAATGTGGATTATGGTCCAGATTTTTGACATCCGAATTGCTGACATGCTACTGTAGTTGGAATGAATTACAATTTACTTTCCATAATCTTTACTACTTAAAGTAATAATGTTATAAATTCCCCAAATTCAGCATGTGTGGTATATGAGAATGACAGATATTTGTATAATCTTTAGATAATATTTTGCTTCTCCCCTGCTGTGTGAGCTGAGCTCTGCTTTTCAGTCATTTTGCATAAGTGAGGGACTGTCCAAAGGAGGGAGAACTAAATATGAGGCACATCTGGAAAGTAAGTTTTCTGTGTTCATCAACAGAAAAAAAATATGATTTCATAAGGAAAGTTAAGTATATACAGCAAATCTCGCACTTTTTACACAATACCACCAGAATTGATGTATGTCAATGTCAATTTTGATGTGACATTTCTTATACCGCTGGATCAACATTCGTATCCCTGATACATAAAATTCTGCTGCCTGGGATATGTACCAGTGTTTGATAGCCTCCTGCAACTCTGCATCACTGCTACATGTAATGCTGATGGGAGAGGCATTTCTTGAGGTGTAAAAAACAAAGGAAATCGTTTGTGTGTGTGATCCATACTCTTGGGTGGACACACACTACATGCTCTGAACTGATCGTCTGCAGCAGTTCTGCTGAGAGGTGTTTGAGAATGACGCAGAATTGACATTCTCTGGTACCTATCCCAAGCAGCAGACTTTTATGACACAGGGTTACAAATGTTGATACCATGATTAACAAATTTATTAGTTCTGGTGTTGATGCATAAGAGTAGTGCAATATGTGCTGTATCTGCTACAATAAAATTTTTCTATGAAATTGTGTTTTTTAATGGGGACTGAGAAACTTACTTTCCTGATGTGCCTCTTAAATTCTGTGCTTGGGGGTCTACTCTGAGAAGACAATCTTTTAAATATGTCCAAATTAAAGAATATTTCATTGAGAATGCAGTGAAAAATAATTTCAGTATCAGTATATAGGTACTATATTGAAAGAAAAATTCTAGAATTTGGAAGAATTGGCTTATATGTGCAAATGACCGGTTGGTATTGCAACAGAAAATGCTGTTTTGGATTGAAAATTATTTGAAGCAGATAAATTGAGCTGTCGAAGTTGATTGATGAAAATATAGAATTCTGGAAGGAACTTTTTTGCATTAGAAAGCAGTTGTTAAGAACCTGATTACTTTTAACTTAAAAACATTGTGTGTCAATTCGCAATTCTGGGTCATATGTTTTGGCTTTCCATCATTTGGTGTCATTCACACTTAATGTTTATAAGATTAATTTGTACATTTCCTCAGTTGAACTCTAAATACAAAACATTTCATATGAATACGTAAGCAAACAATATTCAACTTATATATCTCAAGTCAAAAAACAATATTTCAATTGCTTTATAAACAGACTACAGGAAACTCCAGGGGTGGTGATGCTGTATAAAAAATGCAAATAACAAAAAATGCATTGAGATATTTTCAACTGATTAATCAAATTACTTCTTACGTTTTTCATCTTCATGTGCAGGACAGTGCTGAGTAATGCGGTTGTAATGGTGTAAAAGGGCAAGTACGTTTGGTTTGCTGTGCGCTAGTTCTTAACACTGGCACGTTTGGAGATTGTGCAATCCAATGTGTCTCTGACAGTTTTGAAGCTTGTAAATAGGTTGTTTGAATTGTGTTGTCATTTGTGAGATAAGTTTTGAAAATCTTAACATTTGTGTGAAATTACATTTGAGAGATTTAATTTTTGCTTGTTTTGCATGACATATTGTGAAAATGTGCTCTAAGAATTTGAATGTTCTGAGCATGTACTTTAAACTTACTTATTTATTAGAGAGGTATCATTAAAAACATACAGAGAACTTTGTAGAACATACCAAACTAATTGATGCAGATATCCTTATAATTTATATCATAAGAAATTGTGTAAAATAACATAATATACCATGATCATCTGGAGTGACTCAGTGTTTTCTGAAACACAGCAACTTCATTATATGGAAATTTTCTTTCTAATTCTAACAACCTCTTAGCAAGAAATTGTGGACTTCATGATTGCAGTTTTTTTGGGGAGGAGTTTTTTTTTTTTCCTTCAAGGTGATACTTGCTTTCTTAGAGATTCAGGAACGGGGATCAGAAAAACGTGTAAAAGTCAAGACTATTCCAAATAGATAATGAGTGACGCTAGATCAGTGTAGACACTCAGAATTCGCCCAGAATGTGTTCACTAGTTCTACACACGCTAGGAAATGTTTGCCGCAATCTTCATTACTCCCAAAAGGATGGCAATCAAACAGATGCCTTGTCTTTTGTCAACTGTTTGAAAATTTACTACTTGAATTTACAATTAGTTTTTGCATGAACTATGCGAACTTACACATTACGTTGAAAGAAAGCGTAGGTTTCAGCGGCCGGAGTAAATAGATTTTTGGCTGTCCTGAAGACGCAACGTCGTAGGCACAGTTGCCAATGTTTCGCTCGTCATAGTGCGGCCTAATCCAGGGCGTAGGATTTGCCAATGGGTTTATAGAGAATGAGGTTCCCTCCTCCACCCAACGTTGGTTTGTTGGCATGGAGCAATCAGGCAATGGCCCCCTGGATGGAGTGGAAGAAGGCGCTCCGCCAATGGTCGGACGTCAAGGAGCAGCGGGAACCGCAACCTGACGCCACCGGGCGTCGCGGTAAGATAGACGTAGGCCATGGCCAGCATTAAGGTTTTGGGGACGTTTGCTAATTTTCGTAGCGTCTTTTTCTCTCCTCGGTCCCCAGCGGTCTTCCCAGGCAAGGAGACGGGTGTTATATAAAAAAGAATGGCGTGGCCAGTAATCCATACGTGGAGGACTACGGTCGGGTTATTTGTATTATGATACTTGTAGTGGTGAGTTTGGTCGCGGAGGCGTTCCTCAGTGGTTAGTCGCATCTGTCGATGTAACTGTGACTGTAACTGCGAGGGATCTCTAACACCCCTAATGTCAAAAGAGGCGGGTCGTGATATTTAACGCGTTCCTACTAGCTTTTTCACGAGTTTTTCTGATATAGGCCCTAGGTGTAGTGATGTCATCCGCAGTGCTAGATGTGGTCGTTGTCTAGACTAGCACTCGTTTACACGAAACGAACGTACCGAGCGAATGTTCGCTCGCTTCCGCCAGCCGATCTCGTCCGAACGATTCGCTCGGGTGTTCAGTTTCCACGGGTCCGAGAGAACGAAGAATCGTTCGTTCAGAAGCGTTCGCTCGCGCAGTGCAAACGCACCATTAGAGAGACCGTAGAGACTTGCAAGAGAGTGATTTTCTCATTTTAGCCTAGTTGTGGCCTCCGCTTCATTGGCCATATATTTCAACTGGACATTAATTTCCGGAAGAGCTTTTGTTCTTAATCATAACGGAATCTCTGAGTACTCGTTAGGAAGATACGTCCGAACACACGACTCGTTATTGCCGGGGAGTTATAGATCGAGGAAAATCCTCAGGGAGTCACAAAACGAGTTTTTCTATCGGAAAACAGCACTTTTTGCTACAGCATTACTAAACTTTATCTACACTACCAATGTTATTCCGTCCCACCCGACGTACGTAGGCACCCACCCGAGAAAAAATGAAAGAAAGGAAAACAACCGAATGTGAAGGCAAACCATAGTCAAATGAAAATTTTCCAACAGTGTAAGTCATTCGAAGATATAAGACAGCACTAAGATATTTTGAGATTATGCAAAATCTAGTTGGAATAAGTTGGACTCAGGAGAAGGATCTGCAAATTTTTATTAAAACTTGTACACTTGAAACATTAACAAAAATGTAATTTTAAGGCTAAATAGTAGTATTAAAATTAGAATTCGTTGTGTTAGGATATTTTTCTCAGTGTCTGAAAAAACAAAATAGGTCATCGAGTAGAAACTTTTATTTTTGTATTTTCGGTTATTTATGAAAATGCTGATGTCCAGAGGTTCGCTGTAAGCGGATCCACAGCAGTCGAAATATTGTCCATATATCCAGTATTCACGTTTTAGTGTTTCGTCTACGATGCTGAACATAGGAAGACTATTTTGTATGTATGTACGTACGTAGTGCGACAGTCCGTGAACGGTAGGCTGAAGCCTACCGGCGACGTCCCTGCGTCGCGGTCATGGGTCAAGGGGGTAAGTGTGGTTAGCACGTAGACATCCCCACGCCGTATTCCGGACTTCTCAACCTGAGAAGTGAATTTTCTCATCGTCACACAGCAACATATATGGGAACATCGCAAGGAAAACGCACACTATAATCTTGCCTCACCGAGAATTGAACCGGAGGCCGCGTAGTAGAAAACGAGCACGCCCACCAACAGCTAGCCACGATGCTCAAGATAATAACAAGAATGGGAAGAACCTTCAAAATGAAACGTTCTGTCAGGTGCACCTCCTACTCGGAGGTGTGCGACCTCCGAGTATTATCACGTGGATGACTGACCGGTTGCATACCCTGTGCACCGGCGCTCTATGGCGTGAATCAAAGGGAAGGATATTTGTAGTATGGGTAATAACTAGTAGGCAAAGGTTGTTAAGGCGCTAAAAAGTTAAGTTTTAGGGGTGAAAAGGACACCAAAAGTATCAGGAATAGGCAGCGAAAATGGAATGAAACTCAAAATTGAAGGGAATAAGGTTCTTATAGCATTAAGGCTGGAGGGCCGTGTCCTGCGTGAGCTACAACCGGCGGCAGCGACAAGTTACAATGCAGCGCGATAGAGCGTGGGGTGTCCTCGGGTCGCGGGTTCGAATCCCGTCTCGGGCATATTTAGTTATTTATTTACGTCAAAAATAGTTAAAAACTGTATGTGATGTGCTATGGGGAGAAGTTAATTTGAAGTTACATTTATGTCCAGAAGCAAAACGAGGGGCCATCTCAGCATTTGCTCGAGGATCCTGGACGAAAACCGGATCGAGATGGGGCTCATTCACCCAGAAGATGAAGTACAATACTTTTTACGGGTTCTTTACAATTACACAATCCAAATGGTATAAAATACATTAAATGTCATTGTTAAAATTAATATTACTTTCCTTTTGGATGCTCAGTATAGTCTCTAATTGTATAGAAACAGTTGTGCAGCAGAAATGATTTTACTTGGGACTTAAACTTTTGTATCGAATTTAATCCTTTAATGTCATCAGGCAATGTGTTGTAAAATAATGTACATGTATTATATGTGAATTGTTTGTAGTGAGCTGTTGATTCTGTCACCTGAGGAATATGATTACATAGGTGTTTGTGTTGGAGCTCTGAATACATAGGCCTGTCAACCCGCCCGCCTCAGAAAAGTACGGGTCCAACCTACCCGCATTCATAAGGGTACCCGTATAATATGGCCGTATTAATGAAATGAATGAACGAAAGAAAAGGCCAAAGAGCGGAAATGATGTAATGGAACAAAATACAAAATTGACGGACGGAGTGGTCAAAATGAACAAAAGGACGAAATGGACAAGACGGAATGGCCACTGTTCCGCCACTGCAGGACCATATTGGTAGAGGGGAGAAATGTTAGAAGGCAGAGAAAGGTCGAACGCTCAGATATCAGATGTTCCACACATGCTCAGATATCGAACTCTCAGGGGACAGAAATGTCCCTCCGCTGATAAAGCGTCGTAAACATTTTTCAGAATACCGTCCTCCCCAGAACCTCTCTTATTGCTATCCGATGTCTTACAAAATAGCTTTCTGTTTGTGTCGGTAAGGGCGTTGTTGCCACCAGAAATTACATTAGAAAAGTGCGCGCCTCAGCATTGTAAAGATCGGCGCCTATAGAGCAATTTACAACTAATATAATTTTCTAACGTATTTCTTGTTCTAATTAGAGTTAAACGTATATCAATAAAGTTTTAGAATTTTCATGTTAATAAACGTATGTACTAAAAAATAGGAATTGAGTTCAGCTAAAATTCAAATAATGCATTTGAGAGATCACGGCGTGTATTCGAGAAAAAATTGAACGACGCTTTAACTCATCCAATCTGGCACCGCTCGCAGTCGGTCTTTTGGCCGTTACTTAGGCGCTCCGCCGCCGCTTCCGAACAGCAGGGGTCGAATTTCTGAGATGGCGACAAGCACGGCTGTTTACATGGCAGGTTCGGACATAAGAGAAGGTTGCACAAATACTTGAATAATGCAAAACTTATTTTTACAATTGTTCTGGTACATACACAATAAAGTTAGAAATTTTGGACCTTCCTTTGGATGCCAATTTAAGCCGTGACATTTATATATTCGTGAATAGGGAGTTTTTGCACGGCGAAACATTACAGCAACCGACAGTTCTATCGATGATCAGCGCATGCGCAATTTGAATTTCCCATCACTTGTGCTTCTGATTTGTGTAGAAACTCGACATTGTAGTCGATTGCAGAAGACTGTCGTGCAGGCTCTCTAGAATTAGAAGAAACTGAAATTGTCCATTGCACCTTTCGTCTGTTTCGTCCTTTCGATCTTTTCGCCCATGCGTCCTTTCGTCGTTTAGTTCTTTTACGCCCATTTGCCCTTTGTGAAAAGAAATTGCGTTATCGCTTAAACAGAAAACAATTTAGATCAATTTATTTTTTCACTGTTTTAAATAAAAATGTTAATAACTATTTTAAATACTTTAAAATATAAACTATACTTATTTTAAAAAATTAAACAACTTAGTAATGAACGAAAGGCATCTAATAAGTACGCAGTGAAAGAGCGTGGTGTGCCCTTAAAACCTTTCCTTGATTTACGATTTCATTCCGCTACTTTCCTGCTTCGATTATTATGTGGTAACTTTGCATAAATAGATAAACTATTATTTTAAACGGAATCCCTTTGTTCGTGTCCATCACGGTATGATACTGGTACGTATGAATGCAGATGGAGTTGACCCGTCAGAGTACCCGCATATAAGGGTACCCGCATGACTAAAGACCCTAAAATAACTCCAAGAGCTCTAGTTTGTGTGTGTTCATGTTGTCCTTAAGGGTTCCCCTTACAGTTACACCAATGTTAAGAATCACAGTGGTCGCTATATAACCAAGCAGTTAAAAAGCGACCTTACAGGTCCTTACAATTAACAGAACATTCAAATTTCAAACTATACATAAAGGAAAATGTATAATCTTGTTCGTTTTGGTATGTCATCATTTCCGCATTTTAGATTGAATTTTATAGCCAGTGTATCGTGCCTGAACACTTTCAAATTTCTGTAATATTTAAGAAGTATTTTACCCAGGTACTTGTATGGTTTTTTGGAGGTGGATATTCCCTTCTAATTGATGAATAGTGACAGAGCTTTAAACAGAAAATTTGCATTATTTTAAGCCAAATTTACCATGAATTTAATTATATTTTAGAACTAATTACGCATCGCATTGTTCAAATTCATTTTCTATTTCCAAGATGTTTTTCAAGTTCTTGAAGTGGTATGCCGCTGCTTTTAACCATTTTTACCACCCCATTATTACAGTTTCAGAGCTAAGCAAGTGTCTGGTAACTTGTCTTTAAATTTACCAATTCTGGAAAGTGATTTCAATTTCCTTTTTTGACCGTTAAAATTAATTATTGACAAATGGGAAATTTTTCTGACTTCTTCCGCTACACGTTGCACACCATGCGTAAGACAAGTTAGGTGCGTAAGATTAGGATAAAATGGCTTCAAAAGTTGTCATTGCCAACAATGTTTTTTAATTCAAAAGCAGCTTTCGATGGCTTAGCCATCATCATCAGTTGTCTAACTGGCTAAGACAACTGATGATGATGGCTAAGCCATCAAAAGCTGCTTTTGAATTAAAAAACATTGTTGGCAATGACAACATCTTTAATTATTTTAAAAATGCCAAAGATATCTTACCACAACACCTATATTCAAAAGTTGGCCTGCTAAAATCATGTAAGCATGTGCAACTTTAAAATTGTACGTTGATTTTCAATCTCACCCGGATGCAATAATTTTAGCTCTGAATTTAGAAATAATACATAAAAGTATCAATAAAGCCAGGTTAGTAACATCTGAAAATATATATTTTCACTCCCTAATTGTAAAAAACGTATTTAAATCGGTAAACGAACTACAGATTGGAGTTTTTAGTCTTAATAACAATATAGTAACCTCTCTACTCTACTCCGACCACAACTAGCAAAAGGAGAATTGAACGTGTGTATAGTGAAGGTACATTTAAGAGTGAGTACCTTCTGTCACCTCAGTGAGTAGTATTCGTCCCGATATTCGAAATCGTCATACTACATCAATACTATTCCAATGAAACAATGAAGTCTGAAGGCATCAGGGCTCAGGGGGCCAGAGCTTCCTTAGTTCGTTCTAGAAGGGGAAGGGGGAGGCTCTACGCTTACTGCACACGCGTTGACCGCCTCTTGGCGGGCGAAATAGGATTTCATATTTTAATTTTTACAAAATTGTCATTAAGGAACTTTTCCCTAAATAAACAAAACATCCATGTTAGAAATACATTGGTTAATCAGTCTATATTTTGAGGACATCCATGTCGCATACCTAATTACAACGTAGGCTGGTGAGTTCCTATTACCGTCTATCCGATGATAATGTATTGCTAACACTCCTATTTTCACTGGGCGGAAGAAATAAAGAAAAAGGGGAAAAAAACGACAACAACAAACCTAGAAGGGCTCGGGAAAAAAAAAAAACAAACTAGAAGAGCACGAACTCGATCGTCGCTCTCACTGGTCGGATTGACGAAGTTTCTGGAGTAATCAGGAAAGACGAATTGAAAGCTTGCTTTTTTAATTTGTGCTTGCATGACCAAAAAGTGAGCTTTTGTGTCCTGCAATTGCCTTTTCTGACGATTAGGTAAATCTCTGCATATAATGCTGGAATTAGTACTGATTATAAGAGCGTGTCTGATATTGGGAAAACTTTTCATATTTCATTTATTTCTTCGCATTGTGCTTATTTAGTTGTGATTTTATTTGTCTGTACTTATTTTATTTTGTAAAGAGTGTTGTTAATTGGACCAATATAAAATGAATTAAATATGGGTCATGGGAAGTTTGATACAACAAACACTGCTTTATCAGAAAAGATACTTCTGACAAAAATTTATCCAATATTTGGTTCCTTGAAGTTTTGGTCATTAATTTGAAAAAGTTATGTGCACACACTCACTTGAGATGGTTAATTTTATATGTGAAAAATAAACATGGAAAGTTGTTTCTAGTTTCAGAAAAAATTTGCAAAGTTCATATAGATGAATGGTCATTCATTATAGTCTCATTATTAAATATTGTATTTAATGCTTTCAGGCTCTTCGGACGCAATAAGCAAGATGTTGAAGGTCGTCTGCTGGGTCCTGATGATGGTGATGATGCAGATTTGTCAGTATCGTTCAGCAACTACAGTGATTCTAAGAAACGTGAACATTTGCAAATGACACCTCTGTGATCTTTTGGGGACTTTTTATTGCTTTACCACAAGTATTTGGCATGGTAACTTCGGTATTTCCTCAAAAATTGTCTTCGTGCTCTATACTTATATAAATATATACATTTTATATTAAATTAATATTTTTATTGAATTGTTCTCTCAATATATTCCCTTCAATTCCGTAATCCTTGATAATTACATAACTTCCGTGCATCATTTACTGCATACTCAAGTTTTAGTGTCATACAGCCTTCTTTTAGTGTCAACGTTTTCAGTATAAAAGGAATATTTATTTTTTCATTGTGTATCACTTGTTTCATGATGCGTAATTGCCTTTTTTGCCACAAGAGGCTTTCAAAGTTACTTATAACAATCACTTAAAATTTTAAGTAAATAAATGTAAGAGGAAATTGTGCATTACTATCTTGACCACAAAGTAAACAATTTTTTGTATCTGCAACAGTGGGGGCTGGTGTATTGCAAATTAGGAAGGGTGAAATTTATGTCCGAACTATTCCATACATTTTACCTCTTCAAAATATTTCTTGAACGAGGAAAACTACAACATGTAGTGTACAACTGATTTACACATATCAGAATTTTAATTCTTATGGGAGATAACTTTAACATACTATTGTGCTCACGCAAAAATTAGATTTAAAAAGAAATATTTCCAGCAAATAAAATAGTAATTCATGAAATTAGATGAAAGGATCGGCATTCTTAGCTTAGTTAATAGGCGCAGACTCATCAGTAAACTAAACCCTAATAGCAACATGCTACCCCACCCAACTCCCAATACTCCCACTCTTCCTCTAGCTTCCATTGCCTCACATGCACCAGCTATGGATGGACTCGAGATAGTCCACAAGCAACCCATTATAAAAACATGTATTTTTCGCTTCAGCTAGCACATGTATGTAAATTCATACTATAAAGTTGTGTTGGTGGTATGCACAAATTAATCAAGTTGATTTATTGCAAGTTTAATACTTTCTGCAACTTTTATTGTGGCTGTTTTTTTTTGGGGGGGGGGGGTTGCCATAGAGCCTTTAATCAGCAGTCGCCCCTGTTCTGCAAGCGTTTTTTAGTTAGTAATTTTTAAGATTACTTGTCAAACACACTGGAAGTCCATACAAGAACACTAAATTTGCAAAATTACCTCGTAATTGTGATCCATTACAATATTCTGAGAAGCTACTGCACACTCTCACAGTATATTTCTTACAAGACAATGGAATATTCTTGCCAACATATGATGTGTAAACGCACACTTTATTTTTCCAAATGTACAAAATTTATTTGATTAGTACATTACATTTTGAAACAGAACATGAACCAAAGCTGTTTCGCAATGTGTGATATTTTCATAAGTTTTGCAATGGGACTATTAAAATAAAAACATCTGGAGGCGCACAACGGCACATACTTTCTCACATTATTTCTAATTTTTGCAATTTCTGAAAATTCAGAGTTCAATGAAAAGCAAATCTGCGTCATTTTTATAAACATACTTTGCAGTATCCTAAAAAAGTGAAAGAAAACTTGTTCTTGAGAAAATCTAAATTTAAAATGCCTTTATTCACTCAAAATTACTCAAACAGTACTTATATTTTGAAAAAATTGCATATGACCTCATTTAAATATCTAATTTTGAAGCGGTGAATCCATTTCAAGTTGTCCAGCACTGATCGCTCTACCATTAAAAAAAAGTATTGTTGGTGGTTCACAAATGGAGGCCATTTTTGTTTCAAGTCGCAAGCTGTTTTTCCCATTCGTAGACATTAACATTTACGATTTTGTAAATAACCCAGTGCTAGCTTTTTAAATTAAAATACTTATGATTCAGTAAGCTCTTGCCCTACAAATTAAAGTGAAATTTATCTATTTTATTTATTTTTATTGAGGTAATATTTGCAATCAAAACTATCAAACTCGAATGAACAAATTTTTGGGATTGTCAGGGAGTATTGTATCAAAGAAGAAATAGTCACAATCTTATTTTTTTCTTTGATTTTAAACATAATAATGTAGTTTTTTTATGTAAAATATAAATGATAAAAAACTAGCCACTTGAAAATTATATCCTCCTAAAAATTTGAAATTTGCACATGTAAAATAATACCTATAATACCAAACTTCTGTATTAAATTCAAATTTCAGATTCAACTCAAAAGACGGTTTTTAAAAAATTGTAAATTTACGTGGAGATGCTTCATTTTCTCAGTGAGGAGAAGTGGTAATAAAGTGTAGTCATTTTATTTTCCAGCTGAATTTTACTTAATGCCATTCAGACTCCTTTATAAATGAAAATAAGGTCAAATTGACATGAGAAACTAAACCTGCTACTGCAGTAATGGTTAAAGTCCTCTACAAAATGACTGATAGAACAAATAAAAAGTACATGTGCTAACCCAAAGAAATAGTATAAAATAAAAATTGTTAACCCACTTCACAATTCAAGGAGCTGCACTAAAGTTGTTAATAAATTTAAAGTGCCAGAGCATGTGCTAAACTTTACAAAGTTCTGGTAAAAGAAGAAGGTATTTTTCATGAATTACCAAAAAGGAAAGCATGAAAGCTGGCAAGTGAAAAAACAACACCAAAAGTTATTACTTTTTATGAAGATTACAAGCATGTTTGGGAAAAAGAAGTTTTGTTTTGATGCATGGGGAGGGGTTTATTCGTACCAACTCTCGGTCTCGTATTATATTTATACCTTCATTTTCGATAATCTCTTGGCCTGACAGACAAGTGTGTGCAATCTGTGTGTTCAGTAGAAGAATTCGATCTCTACGTCGCCTAAAAGGGGCCATCTAATGGTCAGTCCTAGGTCGGATGACCGCCTGAGGGCCAGGGGTGGGGCGCTCTAACAGCAGTTTCCGGCGGGGGGGGGGGGGGGGGGTCCGGTCTGGATGACTGATGTCACTGCAGTTCCTCTGACCGGGAAGTCCTAGAGTTCGAGTTCCGACAATGGCAGAATTTTCGACACCAGTTAGGTAATTAGAATATAACCGGCTGCTCTGGTCGGTAGTTCTCCATGGTTTCTCCGATCAATACCGGGCAAATGACAGAGATTTACCCTAAGAGGCACGGACCGCGAGATCTTTCCTTCCTCTTCCTTGTCCTATCCTCATCCCTTACTTACACACACACACACACTTACATGCACTACACTTTCACACATGTCGGGGGCTTAGAGCCTACCCCAGCTGGGACGGAGTCCGCTGGATGGAGATAGATGAATGGGGAAAACACCCAACCCCGCAAGCTGACGAGCAGATCTGCGCCGATCTCATCATCTAGCACGTGAAGAACACACTCACCTCTTATGGTAAAAACATGCACTTGACTTTCTGATCTGATGAAATTAGGGGTTGAAGCGCCCGGAAACACGAAATAATGTCAAACAACCAAAACAATGGTACAAACACCGAGATAGGGTCAATGCATATCAAGAGCCACTATGTAAAGCTACAAGATCGATACAGGCATATGCGATGTTCGTGGGGACGGTTCCGGGTTAGTCGCCTAGAAGTATGACGCAAGTTCCGGATGGTCGAGACGGGCGCCAGCCAGGTATAAATTCGCCGCTGCCGGCGGCTGCGAGTCAGTCAGTGAGTAAGCAGTCAGTCAATGTGAGTCAGTGAGTGAGTAAGCAGTCAGTTCGTCAGTGTGAGTATGCAGTCTGTCTGAAGTCACGAATGGAAGCTGAGCTGTGAAGTGTGCATTGCGGTGAACAGTGGTGCAGAGGACCGTGATCAGCGCCGTGAACTGTAGCCAGCGCAGCGAAATGTGGACAGTGTTTCGGACTGTGCGATAGTGTAAAAGAAGTGAACAGTGTAAATAAATAATAAAGAGAAGTGAGTCGTGTATAAGGAAATAACCAAGTGAAGAACGCAAGGACTGTGTAACCTATCTGTAAATAAATCAAGTATTTTAGTGTATCATTAATAAACAAAAACAAAAAGTCTTTGTTAAAATATTACCATTGTGTTTTAATTCACCGCTAAGAAACATTACAATACGTATATACGGAGTAATATACATAGTATAGAGAAAGTGGTGTAATACTACGGAAATACACGTTTTGGGGTCCACAGATACCGAATTTTTTTTTTTTTTTCCTTTCAATTCGTCCGTCTATCCGTCTGTCTGTGAAAACTACTATCGCTTAAATCATTCGTAGATTTTTTTCTAAATTGAAGAAACCCATGTCCATCTGGCTCATGTCAAAGCTTTGAGATTTTGAAAAACATTCTTTAAAATTTGGAGATACTTTACATGAAACCCCCAGACTTCACAAAATTTTCTCAAAAAGGCTCCAAATTTTTTCTTTAAATTTCTTGTAAGAAAGGAGTAACACACTTATAAAAGTGGTAAAGGTCCGATTTTCACAGTTAACTCTGAATTTACGAAAATTTCAAAAGTGTGAATTTTTTTCGGTATCTTCCTTCAACTACAAAATTGAAGACAGACATTTTTCCTTCAAATTCAATTGTCTATAATTAGTTCTTTTATTAAGGTAATTTTTGGAAATTTTAGTAGTTTTCGCGGAATATGGCGTGCAATATTTGCAGTTTAAGAATTCTCAAAAAAGATTTTCTCAAAAACGGCTGCAATTTTTTCTTTAAACTTTTGTTATGGATTGTGCTAAATGCACTCTACATAAACGCCATTATGCTCTATTATTTTTCTTCACAAATTACAAAAATTTAATAATTTGACTTGTCTTTCCCGTCGTTAATATTTACGCTAGAGGCAATTTCTTCACATTATTATATTTATGAGTACATGTGCTTTATATAATGTCACACAAAGTTTCTCGAAAACTCAACCGTTTTCTGTGAGAACTAGCTCGAATTTCCGCATTTTCAGAAACGCTCAAATGCCATTTTCTCAAAAACGGCTGGAATTTTTTTCTTCAAACTTTTCTAAGGGATAGTGCTAATAGCACTATTTAAAATGGCGTAAAGTTCATTTGGTTTGGTTTTTCGAAAATTACACTAATGTAATTTATTTGAAAGATCTCTCACGCCGTTAATATGCATATTTTCAACAATTTGTAAAATATGCATATTTTCAACTATTGTGTAAGTGAGTTAATGTACTTCAAATGAAGCTTTTTAAAAGCTCAATCATTTTCTATGTAAAGTATCAAATTTTGAATTTACAGTAGGGCTTAGCGCCATTTTCTTAAAAACAGCTCCAAGTTCAACAGTTTTCCTAAAATAATATTTTCGTTCTAGTGTTAGAAATCCGAAATATTAAGAAAATTTCAAAAAAATGTATTTTGAGCGACGATAGATGATAGTTTGCAAGAATATGTGGCAAGTTCGTATAGCTAGCCGCGACCCTAGGAAATATAAAACTAATACGAGAAAGTCTCTGCCATTCTGTAACACCACTAGTTGTTATTTACGTTGGTATACGCGCACTTAACAACCAACCACCTAAACAACGCTTTAAAAGCGCTTCCATAGCATTAAAATGCTCGAGAGTCAATTAAAAACATTTTAGCGGACTTTTGGGTTTATATTATATCAGTACTCATAAATGTTGGACTAAATATGATGTTGATACAAACACAATTTTTGGATAATAAATGTAAACAAAATTTATTTTTATAATTATTTTGGTACGGATATATTGAAAGTACTATGCTAGCATAATCTCGTCGTTAATACTTCGAACATTCGTTTTCGTTCGCCAATCACAAAATCAATCATAAGCTTTCTCATTAGTGGTTACAGATTTAGAAGGCATCAAATTAGACCTTGCCGCTCCTGCTTTCTCCTGAATATGATTTGGCACGAAAATATCTTATAATACTTCGAAATTCCCAGACATTTTTTCTCAATCAGCTTGCATTAGCTAAAAAAGCATTCAACAGTTTCATCAAAAGCATCCAGTACCACCAACCCTAGCTACAGAAAACTAACGTAAACGAACTAAAAAAACGAAAGTAATGACAACTCATGAAAGTGATATTTTGAATTACCGATAAACTAGAAATAAACAATAAAAACATTGTATGTAACTCGTATTCTATTAATCTATAGAAACTCATTTAGATGACTCGTGACAACTATTTTGCTAGCATATCTTTAAACCATAATTAACGTCGTATTTTACAGAATAATAACCTCTTTTCCCCAAAAATTAGCAACAATAAATAGAGGGGAGTTAATACTTGAGTGTTTCGAAAGTAAGTGAGTAATATAAAAAATGAAATTTAATTTCAAACAATGTTACAAATGGATAAATATCTCACTCTACTTCTGAGGCGCGCGGAAATTTATTCTAGACATAGCTCCGGTCTTTCGAAGAGAGAAATAACTGTTTCCTTCGTATAGACAGGAATGAGGGGATCAACAAGCAAAAAACAATTCCCTCCGAAATTTTTATAAAAACAACTGAAGGGCTTATATGTGAGGGGGCTCTATTCGAGAAAATAACTTAATACGCAAAATATCCCAAGTTTCTCTCTTGCTCCGTTTGCTCATACTAATGATACAATATGTTGCAGAAACTTTTACAAATTTTACATAATCTTCAAGTCATGAGTTTCAAGTCATACTTTATACGAGAGGATAGATAAATGTAATTATATACAATGTAAATAAAATAAATGATTGTCGTACAGTATTGTAAACGATCACTACAAATCGTTCGCACGACACTGACGAGGTTGCCATCGCAACAGTGGTTACATGATATTTATAGTGAATGGATACATAAAGAGATGACTGAATATGGAATGAACTATCAAATTATATCACAAACGGCAATGCTAGGAACTCAAGATTACGAACCCTAAACGATCTCACAATTGTAACAAGAATGAATTCCCGCCTTTTGAGCTTGGAACTTGACTCTAATGCAATTGGCTGGTACTGCGCGTACCCGTGGGCGCGTGACGTGAAAGCTCCAGGTTTCCATAGCAACCGAAGTAACCATAGCAACGCATCCTCTGAAGCATAGACAAACATGCAGGTGCTCCGGGGTGAACTGGGCCCAGTAGACACCTTTAACCTCTCATATAGATTGCATGTTGTTTTTAACAAGTTTTATTTTTTTCTTTCTTGGAGTTCAATAAACAGTGAGGTTTTTAACACATCTACCAAGGAATGAAATAATTTCAGAGAACATGAACAAGAACTTAAATATTAATATAGGGGCAAGCCCATTTGAATTTCCAAGAATAGCAAAGGAAATGGGTTTTAGATTCAGCTTAAAGAGAGGACGAGTGGACTGGCATAAAATAGGTTAGTATTTCATTTTTCATTGATTTACAAAAATTGTAAACAAGAGCCAGTATTATTTCTTGTTTTTTTAGAAGTCATAGATATTGACCATCTAATTCAAGAACGTGATCTCACCAGTCTTAAAGATAATCTTCCTAATATTATGAATTACAACCTAGAGAGTGAATTTGATGTGAAAATTCTGGACCGTAGTTTTGTGAAACTATTTAAATTGGCTCAGTTGTCAATAGACTACTTAATGTATTCAGAACAACATTTATTCAACTGTGTGGAATTGATTCGAGAAGAATATGCTAGTTGTATAAAGGTAAGTAATTGTTTCTTGGAAATCTGGCTGTTTAATTGGGACTTTTTCAAAACTAAGAATACTGCTTTTCATATGTTTTTTAGGACAATGAAAAACTGAAAAAGGATTTAAAGAAGAAAGATGACATTACAAAGAATTTGAAGAAGAAAATAAAAGAGAAAGGGAAAATGAAATTGTCAAATAATCAGATGAACATGTATCATCATTCCATATTACATCAACCAGAAGTTTACAAGGTAATAAGTTGAGTTAATGATAAATTCACAAGAAAATTTTCATATTCTCTGAACTTGTTTAAATTTACTTTTAGGTTGTGTTAGGTTAGGTTAACCTAGCAGAGCTCATGCCAGGTCTCTGAGATACATATTATTAATTTAATGTTTCAATGGTAGAAGGTTGTGATTGAGATACGTTGTTCAAAATACCTTCCTACTCTAGTTATGTTACTAGTTATGTTATGGCATTAGGAGCAATTGAATTTTCCTAACAGGTTTTGTGGAATGCTTAATTAAATGAAATTATGGAATATGCTTGGTCCTGTAGACCCTCTGCAAGAATTGATGTAACAGAATGTGGAGAAATTTCCAATGAAGTATTTATTATTAAAATGAGGTTTAGGAGTATCAACTGTTGTAATAACTTCACCAAACATTTTGGGGGGTGGAATTGAATTCTTGGAGAAATCTTTTAATAAATAAAGATTAAAGTGAAGATAATTAATAGGAAAGGGAAGGTGACTCCGGTAATGAACACTAAAAATGCAATAGTAAAGAGTAAGAAAGTTCACATTGTTGAAGTATGTGCTATTTACATTTGCTTTAGAAATTCAACATGTAATCTACATTATGATGAATGCCACTGCCTTTTATTCTTTCATAATTTCTAATTCCTTAATTTCTAATCCATTAATAACTGGGAAGTTTATAATTCACTATTTTTCAAAAATCTGATTCTTGTATTTGTCAGAAATGAGCTGACCAGTTGTGCTGCATGCAGCAACATTCCAGGTGGTATTAGAATCAGAGCTTCTAACAAAAAATTACTGTTTTAAAATTAAACAAATTCCTGAGATAGAGAATAGAGGTTGGTGGCAAGAATTTTATGGAAAAGACAAAAAGCTCAATATTCTTACTCCAAGTGCAAGTATGTTTGCTTAAATTTCTTTCCTAAGAGTACATTTCTGTTCTCTGTCAGGTGTGCCAGAGTAAAGTGGCACTAATAAATATGGCGTAAACGTGGCCTTAATAAACATTAAAAAAGGAATTTTTTATTATAAAAAATTCCTTTTTTAATGTTTTTAGTAATAGTTAAAAAATATATTTCCATTGGAAAGTTGTAGTGTAAAATACTTTTTACTAATATTAATTTGCAATAATATTAAACTTCACTACTAATTTTACATACTAACATGTGCATTAAAATTATCTTCAATTTTTATATACTTTCTACTTGTTAACATGTAATAAATGCACACCAATACTATATAAATGTATACTCATTTACAATATATACAATTCCCATGGTTTCCCATAGAAATAATAAAACACGTTCTTGGGTCTGACCAATCCTATTGGGAAATGCAGCATGAGCTCTACAGGGTTAACTTAATTTTAAATTCGTCTTGCTCTGTTGTTATTGAAGAAAATTGTGGTTGAATAGTGCAACACTAGTGTTGTACCCAGCTGCCCCTTCAGGTGAGGTCTCCCCTGGAACATTTAGAATTCCACACCCCACAGGGGGAGATCAGTTAAATGCATAAGCACACTAAGGAGTATGTGCCTAAAAATGTTATAACTATTAGAAATAGTATTGTTATAGTTCAAAGTCTCTTTTAAGTAGACCTAATATTTAACATACTGTTTTGCCTACGTATAAAATCTAAAATGTAATAGATGAATATATTTACATGAAGTCCTTGGGACATTTTCAAACTTTTCACAAAAATTACTCCAAATTATTTCGTTAAATTTCTTGTTACAATCAAGTAAAGTACACTTAGTTCCTTAGTTAGTACACATAGTTCCTTATTTCATTGTTTACTCTGAATTTTCGAAAATAGCTAAAGTTAGATTCCCCCCACCCCCCGCATCTTCCTACAACTACAAAATTGAAGGTAGAGATTTTTCCTTGAAATGAAATTGGTTCTCCATATTTAGTTCTTTCAATAAGGTCATGCACATTAAAAAAAAACGTTTAGTGTTTTAACTTCTATAAAGAAACGGAATTTCGCGGATTCTTGACGAATTGCACTTTAACTTTAAAAATATAAAATATTTCTTGAAAAAACGCCTTTAACTATTAATGCGAAATGCAACCCGCATGCTCATGCAGCATTGTTGAAATTGTGCAACTCCAAAACGAAGAGTTCTAGGGGCTTAAAATCTGAAAATATGAGGACAAAGGTCTCAATGAAATGTTCCTCACGCCGTTATCTACAGGATATCGTCTTGGACATCGTATACATTTTTGCTGGTTCGGCGTTTCTTGATACTACCACATCTATTCGGAGACGTGTAGAATCTACAACTGTATGTGAAATTACACTAATTACTTGATATTCTATGTGATTGAATTGGAAGCGTGAACATCTCTGTCAATAAAGCTAAATAAAAGTTTGTATTGATAAGGGTCTACTGTACTGTTAAAATACATTTATTTACTTGGAGAGTATATTAGAACAAGTGACAAAGGATAAAGTGGGTCGTGAAGAAAATGATATACTATATGGGCTTAATATGGATATAGAAGGATGGGAAGAGGGTGGGGTTTAAATGCGAGAACTGGCACATTCAAACAATGCAAAAGGCTGTTCTCCTGAGTGCTGCACGCATAGTTAGGAAGTTTTTATTGATATAACTGACCGCCCGAGTTTGCAAGCGAAGCAGACACCTTGGTTCTACAAAGGTCCCGGTGTCTCTATGGCACCTCGCTAAGCGAAAGACTTGAAAGAAACAATAATAATAATAATAATAATAATAATAATAATAATAATAATATAATAATAATATATGATGATGATGATGATGATGATGATGATGATGATGATGATGATGATGATGATGATGTGGTGGTGTGGTGTGTTTGGCAGTGCGCGCAGTGCCCAAGGCGTTCGCCAGCGCGTGTTTTTGGAGGCGCATCGCGGCGGCGACGCGGAGGAGCCGTCGCGCGCCCCCGGCCGCCCCGGCCGCCCCGGCCGACCTCGCCGCCCTGCACGCCGACATGCATCACCTCAAGGCCCTGCTGCTGCAGCAGCAGCCGCACTTCCTGGTAACCTCAGCTACACACGCGTGCTCATTAGTGGCATCGATGCTACCATTGCATGGCAAAACGAATATAAATTAAACTTTGTGACAAAACGCATATAAACGTTGCGTGGCAAAACGAATATAAATTAAACTTGTGGCAAAACGCATATAAGTGTTCCATGGCAACACGAATATAAATTAAACTTGTGGCAAAACGCATATAAATGTTGCATGGCAAAACGAATGTAAATTAAACTTTGTGGCAAAACGCATATAAATGTTGCATAGCAAAACGAATATAAATTAAACTTTGTGGCGAAACGCATATAAATGTTGCTTGGCACAACGAATATAAATTAAACTTTGTGGCAAAACACATATAAATGTTGCATAGCAAAACCAATATATATTAAACTTTGTTCCATTGCATGGCAAACGAACATAAATTTGACTTTGTGATTTGCCGCGAGATGTAAGTACGTGTTCTTTACTAAGAAACATACATTCATTGCGAAAATACAATAAAAAATGTCCCATCATGTAGCAATTTTTCTGGAAAAGATACGCCACATATATCGCTTGCGAGAAACGTGAGGCAAACTTCGTTACAATACAGGAGAAATCTGTTGTTAATTAATATACAGGTCGTGTATAATGTATAAAAATTGTATAATTGTTTGTATTACAAAACGTATAATGAAAGCAGTAAGAGAAAGCTCAATAAATCTTGAAATTTACTTACAGTTAGAAATTTTTCCTGTAAACATTCCGTTTGTGGATGGTTTGCTGAAACGTCTTGTTGGAATGTCCAGCAGTAATCCATCAAAAGGTTTGGTGCACGGGAAAACAAGAATCGTTGGAGTATATCAGATCCATGATACTGTAACAAGGAACCTTGTTGCAATATCATGGGTCTGGTATACTCTAACGGTTCTTTTTTTCCGGTGTGACCATCCTCTTATATTGTATTTTTATGGTAGGGATATCTTGATGAAACCATGTTCGTCAATAACATTTGCGAGATTAAGTGGAAAGAAATCCAAATGAAATGAAGGAAATGTAATTTCAGAGACGTATTGCACCCCATAGTCTCGTAACAGTCCAGCATGTGTTCCGTCAGTTCCCTGCAATTCTCAGATATTACGTTACCCAAGAAATTGTCGCAAACATATTTCAATGGATGCCAAGCTGTCTTCTGAGTATCAGCAAAAGTAATAATCTTTCATCAAGTTACGAATCTGAGGTCCCCTGAAAATTTCTTCTTTAATTTTTGCAGTGCAAATTGCACAAAATTTAGATAGTAAAAATTTGAAAACCTTGGCTATATTTGTCTATTGCTTTCATAAAATTCTTCATAAAGCCCAATTTCAGATGGAGTGGTGGTAACAGCGCCGTGTCTTTGTCAACAAGGGGTTCATGCAACATTTGTTTCTCGAGGATTGAAAATGTCACTCATAGGCACTCTTTGATTGCATAATGATCTTTTCTTGACCTACTATCCCACTGACACAAGAAACATCTATATTTTGTATAACCAGTCTGCATTCCTAGAAGTAGTCCAAAAACTTTGAGATCACTACAGGTTTTCCATTTGTAATTGGAATAGCCTGTATACTTCAGGAAAAGCGTCATGTTCTAATATATTTATTTCAACTGAACAGAATGGGCTACTGGTATCGAAGATTTCTCGTTTCCCTTATGTAAGAAAACAGCTTTGAGACTACTATTTGAGGAATCTATGAATGAGCGCCATTCTTCCTGACTGTGATTCATCCCAAAGTTTGTAATCAGCCCATTTTGTCATTACAGTAAACCAACTCTGTTATTGAGGAAAAAATGTAAAGATCATGCTGTCGTTTACGGATTGTAATGCTAGTGTTTGGGTGTAACAGGTTATTTTCTTGAACACTAAGTCCCAAGTAATTCTATTTGCCTCTTTGAACGATTTAGATATCTTACAATATCGTTCAATTCAGCCTGCGACAATGGCTGGGGTAGCTGTGCTCTAAATGGCGTGTAATCAGGATCTCTGTGATCTGTTGGTTTGTCACTACTATCGTCTGTTTAATCTTCCTGTGCCCATTCCGTTGGTGGTGTTGGAACTGGAGGAGAATCAGAATGCGGAACTGGGCGAATTGCAGATTCCAAATTCGGATAAGAAACTGTTTTGATTTCCTTAATATTCCTATTACTTTCGTTAAACAGAAGTAGCAATATGTAACGTGGTAGTTGCCATCCACATTATCCTGGTAAGGCAAAAGGTGGATGGGTGGGTAGATGGATGGGTTCCACGCAACCTGCCTCTTAAATAGCGGGAGCAATGTGACCAACAGTGATGTGGTGCCCAATACATACATATCTTGTCTATCTTTCATTCAAAATATAACTCTTACGTCTTTTTGACGATAGAGAAACGGGATGTCTTTGAGATAGTCGTAAACTTGCCACACACATAACAGAAAAGATTTTGTGAATTAACACACTTCATCGAAATCGCTAATAAAAAACACGCGAAAATGCACAAACAATATTGTTTACGTAATAATAAATGAACAAGGCTGAGTCTGAATGCCTGAGCGCCCTTTTACAAAATTGTGATTATGGAAATTTTTCACTCACGAGTCAGAATTCGATGTCGTTAAAACATCGAGCACAAAATATCATTGTCATGAAACATCGGCTTTAACATATCGTTTGCATAAAAACATCGATGTTTTCAAAACATCGACATCAATGTCGTATCCCAGTCCAATGCGCTTTGGCCCTCCAGAGAGCACCGACGGCTCACATTGCAATACAATTGAACACAAATTCCATGAATTGAACTCGCGCCGAATTTCCCAGCGAAAATTATCGCACACGTGCATTCAAGAGACAAATCCACTTGCATAAACACCGCCCAAGGATTTTACCATGTCTCTTCTAAAAAACTTTCCTTGGCCATAGTAACCTATTCCATGACTATCATGTCACATTCAGGATATTTCACATTATTTATTTTACTTGAAAGGTCGTAACATAACTATGCGCACGTTTTGTTGATCTCTCTTTTGCTAGTTGTGGTAGGAGTAAAGCCGGAAAATACATTTCTTTATCGTCATTGTTCATTTCATTAGGGGCTGGTTGGCACAGATGTACAATTCTATCCCTCCGCTATGGTCGCATTAGAAGGTCTGACGAAGCACAACACAATACCCGTAAACAATCCGAACGGCACGCAAGACGAGTTCAGACCCACAAGTAATTGATAAATGATTGATAATATATGATTGATAAATTGATTCAACTTCACAATTTATGTTGTTGCAATTATCGCATAGCTTAAGATGCAATATGGACATTAATGCAAAAGTTCAATTGTCTAATTATAGGACGTGATTGCCACAAGGCACAAAGTTTACTTTGAACACAATCAAGTGTGCATATTCGACGGAAATCTCCTCCGATCTGAATTTATTTCGTTTCGTTGCTGTCCCAAAGGCTTCGAAAGTGAAGGGGAGGGGGTGAAATCGGTTAGTTTGAAAAACTCGTGGAATATTCTGGAAGAAGTTGGAGTTGACACCCCGCTGGTGCTGGGTGGGCGTGGGGGACTGCTGGGAGACGCGCACTCCGCTGCAGCTGCACGAGGGACGCCCAACGTGAGGGTCAACGCGAGTGATGTGCGCTGTGCCAGAAGTAAAATGATAAAGGCATTAGGATGAAAAACACTACAAGAATGAAATTTGTACTAATGTGCCCTCCCAAAAAATACAGACATACACATAATTACAGTATAAGATACTTTGTTTTCGCCTGGCAGCGACGATAACAGTTTAATCATTAGGCCGATAAAGGTCGCGGAATAAAAGATGTGGTTGACATTTGAAAACCGAGGCGATAGCTGATGTTATTACAAACGATGTCCGTCACTTTTACATCGGCTGCGTGTCGTTCGACACTTTTTGAAATATCATTTATTCAAGAAAACATAAACAAACAATTTAGTTTTCTTGGAATAGAAGTACTATGTGCTATTTTCGGCGACAACTCATTTGTTTGTATTGTTCTAAACGGGCGACGGATTATTGAAACTTAACGGACATTGGCCGTTAAGGACAGCTTTTCGTTCCTCTGTTTGAATTCGTTTAGCAAGTATAACAATACAGTAATAGCGGAAAATATTTAATAATTATTTTCTTAATATTTTTGTTTTTGGGTTTCTAATTTTCAGAATAAAGAAAATGTACCTACGAATCATGCCGTCACAGAGAGAAACACTAACATCATTCATCAATCTGTCCCGGAATTGGATGGCAAGGTTCTTGAGAAGATAGCAGAGTTTGAACAAAAGTACTTGGAAAAAATTTACTCTGTCAGGAACACATGCCTGCTCGACATTACGGTAAGTTATTTATTTTCTATAAGATAAATTTAAAATGAAAATTTCGTAAATGACGTACATTTAACTGTTTTAGATATGTTTCAAAACATGAAACTGCTTAAGTGAAGTGAACACCTCTAGCACCTTGCATACACTTGCTGGTACAAATAAAGGTCTCTTTTTACTTCACTCGAAAATTTAACATTATTACTATTATTATTATTATTATTATTATTATTATTATTATTATTATTATTATTATTATTATTATTAAAGGTCGCTTTTTAACAACTTGATCATATTGAGACCCCTGTGATTGTTTTAACAGTAGGAAGAACACTTAAGGAACAAACATGCACGCCTGGGGCGGGATTCGAAAACGTGACCCTTCGAGTCGAGGCCACTACGGCCCTTTAGCCTTAGTAATCTCAGCTATCCAAGCCGGCTAATTTAAATTTTGTGGGATGAAAGTGCTGTTCAAAATTATGTTCAAATGAAATTGTTCAATGTAATGTGTTTTGGGTGTTTTAATTAATTGTTTTAATATCGATCTTTCCATTGTATCGGGTATTACAAAGGAACGCGTTATTTCCCGCGCCATTCTCGCAAAAAGCACCCCCTAGATATCCTTCAACTCCCGTTCCTAAAAACACCCAACAAATTAACACTCACGAAACGACACGACAAAATCCTCAACAAAATAACCCCTCAAAAAAGAAAACCCCCACCCAATTTTCTACCCCTAAGTGCATAACATCTCTGCTATCTTTTCATACTATTCTCTCCACCCAACTCAAACTACCTTAAACGAAAAAAAAAAAGTCTAAATACCAAACTAGTCCTTGCCCTCCCCACCCCCAGCCCTCTGGCTAACGGGAGACAGCTGGTCAATCCGGAATTAGTAGAATGAAAATCCAAGACAGTAGAGGACATAGATCTAGGCCGTCCTCACCAAGATGCTCCACCTTCGACAAAGTATTACGTTTGCACACCTTAAAATTCTGTTTCTTCTTTCTCTACTTTGGAAATACATTGTTGTAGTTTCGAAAGCACATTGTGGTTTTTTACATAAAAGTAGTAAAATATTTTTTTAAAATAAATACGTAATAAAATCGGAGAAACTGCAACGGGTGGTACGAATTAGTGGTGATACAACAGCGCATGTATTTTCATTTATTATTTGTAACAGCTGCGCATGAAATACTACGCGAAACTGCAAAAGTGTTTCCAACCAGAAAACAATTTTTCTCCGCGCTGGGATTAGAAGTTAGAATCTCACGAGTTAGCGAGCCATTCGCCTTACTCCTACACCATCAGCCTGTCAGGTAATCTCAACCTTCCCGACAAAAAGATGTTGAATATTTCTATGGGCAATTTTCAAAATTTCGGGGATTTTCAATTAAATTATTTCAAGACATTTTAAAGAACAGTTTTTCAAAAATGTACCAACGATTTTTTAGTTGTGAATTTTTGTTTTTTAATTTTCGAAAATTCAATGTTCCCCGAAAACAGGATCTGCGCTAATTTTTAGCGTCTTTTGCTCTAGAAAAAACTGACGAAAAAAAGACAGACGGTCGGACGGACGTACTAAAGATGGACGGACAGACCGACTGACGGACGGTTAGAGGGGCGGAAGACAGACATTTCGATGCGTGTGGAACTTCAAAAGCGCATACTTTCTCGCGTGGCGAAAATGTGCAATTCAACCAAGAAGCGAGCAACACACTGTTGCCAGCGCAGCTTTATCAAAACTATGTGTATTGGATAATACATTACTTAGAATATATGCATTTGTCATCAAAATAATTACGAAAATTGTGGCTGCTCACTCCTGAGTTGCCTTTCGTCGTAAGATAACAGTTCCGATGATTCATCGTTTTTCTTTTATTCAGTTAATTTGTTTAGGAATCAGATGATATTAAATGATATATAACATACCTCATAGGGTATTCTGAGGAGGAATTTGTAAAAAAACTGCTGCGAAATTCATCGCAAACTGGGTCTCAGTCTAGGAGTTACACCACCACCAGCTTGACTTAAAAAAACAACTGTATCTAATTACTGCTAACATCTCGACGTTCCACAACAATTAGTTTCTCAAATATTGATGCCGCGTTGTTGCGTTATTTCTATTAAGCTTTGCAGATTGCTTGAAAAGAAATACATCAATACATTGAGATTACAAATTGCGTAAAAAGTAAAAAATGCGAGAGTGTTAAAAATATAATTAATATTGGCATATTCAGTAGTAAATTATAATTAAATTTAAATTAATTATTTTTTATATCTTTCATTCATTTCTCGTGGCCCCTAGTTGGTGTGAAATCTGTATATATTTCATTAATTTCAAGCAGACATTATGTAAAAATTACTCGTTTTAAAAAAAAATTCTACGTGAACTTTTTTAAAGAGCTTAATTTGTATAATTCTTTGTCTGAGGCAAAAATCTCTATCTTCAATTTTGTAGTTTTGAAATGTTGCGATTTTCGAAAAACAAACGAGCAATACCCTAAAATAATCGATTTTTTGCAGCATTAACTAATTTTCTCTGTACTACGTATATTACTCCATAATATTGGATTTATTGAGATGTGCATTTGAAATAAATCATGATGGTTTCATTCAATCGGGAGCTTAAATGTCGCTGCAATGACGTCACTGTGGTGAAATTCCAGCTCCCGATTGGATGAAACCGACTATAACCTTTAATATAGCAGCGGGCCATATTTACAATACTCGGACGATCCACCTACTATACGCTCAAGTTTACTTGATATTCCACAGCGGGGGGGGGGGAGGAGAGGAGGGCTCTGGCTACGTCACGGCACCAAAGGGCCAACTGCGGGCATGAACGTACCTCACCAAAGAGTGCCATGAGAAATGCTACGATTGTTTTGAAAGTACGGGGTGGTTGTTGGCAGCATTGTAAATTGTTACGTGCCGTCCCGAGTTGAACCTATCTCAACGTGCTGTGTTATTCGGCGATGGGTGAGGACTAAGGAGCTCGTGTATCAAGAATACTTGCACGAGTTATACTTTTGCCGCATTATTGATATCGGTAGTTTGTCCGGGTGCTCTGAAACAGTGGGGGAGGAGGTGGAGGAATAGAACCATGCGTGATATCAGGCCGTACCAGGCATAACGCAGGGAAACACATTGGGATGATTTTGAACTTCTGAATTTAATATTTCAAAAAAAATCCATCTAAGCAACCTATTTCTACATGAAGAGGATGTTGGCTTCGACAGGGTCGTATGCCAGGCGCGCATTGTTCTCGATCGACATGGATGCAAGGACTTTTGACCAATAACCTTTTCCGGGCCACCAGTTGAACAACCCTGGTACGAACGTATACGAGAAAGTAAAAATACTAAAAATAAATTATGTGTTTCCGTCCCAATATCACTGAGAATTATCTTTACAGATACAACTTTTGTGTATGTGTGTGTGTGTGATTTAAGGTCGCGTCAACTTCTAGGTCATTTGCGACCACTATTGCGTGTAACGGTATAACTGGAGATGACATATGATGATGATAGGGGTTGAAAGGACGAACGCAATACAATAGTGCCCGAGGCGGGACTCGAACCCGCGATCCTTCGGTCCGAGGTCGCTACAGCACTACTGCCTTACCGATCTCGGCCATTTGGATCGGCTTTTCACCTCTTTGTATGTGTATGTATTGTGGTTGGTATGACACTGCAGATAATCAACTCATTCTTATTAAAATCTGAAGCAAGTTCATTTATAGTTATCTATTTATGCTGCCAATTTTCTCTCTAGGTTTATGATGAATTGTGTTATATTTCTGAATTGATCAGATATCCCAAATAATTTTTAAGTATCATTTCATAAAATATAATACTTGTCTTCATGAATGCCAGGCAACTGTACTTTGACAATTAACAGAGGCACTAGTAGATACAATAAGAGTAGTAAAAATAGTTTTGGTATATTGTTGCCTTTTATGTTTCGGGATTTGACAACCCTGGTGTTGCAATCTGGCAACTGACAGCTCTATCGTAAAGTTGGATGTTTTGAGGTTATACGTACTCAGAACGTTTTGACATACGAGCGCTATTTGTGTTGTTTACAGCAACTTACAAGATTCATCTTGGCCCAAAAATGGAATTAAATCGTGAACATTTTCGTGCGATTATTTTTTACAACTTTCGACGTGGATTAACTCAGCAACAGTGCATGGATGAACTTCATTCAATTTTTGGCGATGAAGCTCTACAAGGACCTGTGTTTATCGATGGTATGGTGAATTCAATCGTGGTCGTAGTTCACTCCAAGACGAATTTCGCGAAGGTCGTTCAAAATCAGTTGTTGTTCCGAAACCCATTGATGCTGTGCGTGAACTGATATTGCAAGATCGTCATGCGACCTATCGTGAGATTGAGACAATCTTAGGCATTACTGGGGCCAGCATTCGTTCAATATTGCCTCAACATTTGACTGTCAAAAAAAATTGTTCGCGTTGGATCCCACACAATCGCTCAAAAAAGGCTCGTGTCGATTGGTCGAAAGAAATGCTCAAAAAAACGATCGCGGTGCTTCAAAACACGTCCATGCCATCGTGACAGGTGATGAACCGTGGATTTACGCGTATGAGCCCGAAAGTAAACAGCAGTCGACTGTATGGGTGTTTCAAGATGAGCAAAATCCAACAAAACTTGTTCGCGCACGAAGCACTTCCAAACAGATGGTCGCCTGTTTTTTCGGAAAAACTAGACATGTCGCATCTAGAACAACGCAGAACTGTCAATTCTGAGTGGTACACAACGATTTGTTTGCCATCTGTCTTCCAAGAAATCAGGAAAACCAATCGCCGAAGACGGATCACTCTTCACCCCGACAATGCGAGCTCTCACACATCGGCTCAAACAACTGCATTTTTGAGCACGCAAAACATCGATTTGATGAGTCATCCGCCATATGGTTCTGACTTGGCACCGAATGACATCTTTTTATTCCCGTACGTAAAAACAAACTGAAAGGTCAACGTTTTTCGACAC